TTTTCTTAAATATATATGGTAATATAATCAAACAGTTTCTTTCTTTCTAATCATAATTGTAATAATGATATAATATTGGGTAATCATATTCCTATATTATATAAGGGAACCAAATCAAATATGTGAAAAATAAATTAGAAAAACAAAAAGTTCGTAACGAAAATAGAAACATACAAATAGATATAATATACAGATTCGATAGACTCAAATTCAAATAAGATAAGACCAAATGTAAATATAAATCTACTAAATTTAAAACTGAATATCTAAAATATAAATCAGAAACGGAAAGAACTGGAAACTATTGAAAATTTCAAAATTGAGAGGCCTCCGGGTACATTCCTAGTTGAATGTACCTGGAGAAGAGAAACTTTGGTTAGTGAACTATATCTAATGCAGGAGAAAAATAAACTCTGATACCATATAAAAAATAAATTAGAAAGGCTAACAATTGTATTGTTATTCATAACGAAAATAGAAGCATATAAATAGTTTATAGGTACAATATACAACTCAATAGTCTCAAAGTTAAATAAAATAAATCTATTAAATCTAAAATTAAATATTTAAAATATTTCAACAAAATTCAAGATCTATTTTATTTTTATGGTAATATTATAATTAATTAATGAATTGAATAAAATTTAAGTGACGTTTTGTTTCTTAATTTGTATATAATTGAAGTTTTCTCTAAGATTTATTTCTTTGGTAATTTAAATATACTAATCTAAATCTACTAAATTTAAAATTGAATATCTAAATTATTTCAACAAAAATCAAGATATGTTTTGTTTATATGGTAATATTATAATTAATTAATGAATTGAATAAAGTTCTTACATTGGTAAGATGTTTTGTTTCTTAATTTGTATATAATATTGAAGATTTCTCTACTATTTATTTATAATAATAATAATAACTAATTAAATAATCATTAATTTCCTTTTACCATAAAAACTGAATCAAGGTTGTTTGTTTAGTATTTAATTTGAAATATATATATTTTTTTGTGCAGTATGATAAATCTTATCAATAATATAAAAAATCATATTTTGTATTGGATTGTCGATTTTTGTTAAAGAAAATATATAAATATTATATATATTGAAAATCGTATACGAAAAAAAATTAGTTGGATGAACAAATATATTTCAAATTTTCTTTTTGTGCTAGTATATATATTACTCCCTCCGTCCATATAAGAAGGAACATTTAGATTTCGGTACAAGAATTTAGGCGAATAGAATAAAATAAAAATTAGGTGATGTGATAAGAGCAAAAAATATATATTTGAGTGGTATGATGAATTAAAATATATTAATTATTTTCTATTTTAAAAATATTGCAGAATATGTGAGATAATATATATATATATATAAGGAAACCTAATTAAACTAATATATGGATTAGTTTTCTCCAAATTTAAAGAACTACACTAATTATTTGTAATTTATAGTGTTTTGTTAGGTTTGTTTGTTTAATATTTTTATTTATTTATTTATTTCTATGTGAAGTATAGAGAATTGTATCGATAACATAAAATATAATATTATATATTAAAATTTGATTTTTGTACAAAAATATAATATATATATTAAGAATTATATTGGAAAAAAATAGTGGCCAAACAAACTACTATTATTTTGTTTTTATTTGTATTCATGTGAAATACATATAGTTACATGTATTGTTTTGTATATGAATAGAGATATTAATTTTAATAGAAAAGATAGGCTGTATAGTAAAATGAAAATTAAACAAACTAAAAGACAATAATATCAGATTGTGTTTTTTCAGTATTTTAGAATGGAGATGGACTATTTTAGACTTGGTACTCTTTCGGTCATTTAAAAATAAGGTAAATTGCATTTTTAATCATGTACCTGACTCCTATGATCATTTTTAGAATTTTAAATAAATCATATACAGAAATTATCTGACAATTAATTTTTTTCTAAAAAATAATTTTCCATCACCAGAATTGACACATCGTTGATGTGGCTCACGAGTATGATTTGACATTGATGTATCTAATCTGTTAGCTCCATGTTACAAGGAGATTTTTTTTTTTTTTTTAAAAAAAATATGTAAATTTTATTTCTAAAAAAATCTACATGGTGCCCGTTTGGCACGCCAGAACACAGGTGTTTACCACGTGTATGTAAATCTCCAACGTGTCAAATGGGTGCCACGTGCGTATCTCCGACATCGGAAAACTAATTATGTCAAAAAAATTATTTATAAGACGAATTGTATACATACTTCAGTTATAAAATTTAAATAATAAAATGATAAGTTACGATATAAAAATACATATTTTTCTTCTTTTTATGTCAGACAAATAAGAAAAGTTATAGGATTTTTTTAATGAGAGAGAGTATTTTATTAAGAAAAATGGTCTATGTTATCGCAACCTAATAGATTAATTTAGTCTTTCTTACTTTTATTTTATCAAAATATCTTTATAAAATTTTCTCTTTATCCCATTAAATTTAAGAATATTTTAAACTTTTATATATTACCGTTTAACTAGATATTCTCTCCGTTGTCACAGTCTTTTTGCGTGTTGATATTTGAATATTAATTATTATAACAATACGTAGTATAAATCAAGATAAAAAGGCAAAAATACGTTTATTAGTCTCTTATAATACAATACAAATACAATGATATTTGTCGAGTAAATTATTCAAATATAAGGATATTTTTAATGTTAAGTATAATAATGCAAAAACCAAATGACAACCTTCTTGCGGGACGGAGGAAGTATTACATATTTTATTAATAAACCAGGTTATGTGAATTAGGTTTAGGAATATTTTTAATTCTTATTAAATATTATGAAATTCTTATTTGTTATTTAATAGTACATAAATAATAATAATAATAATTCTTCGTTAAAAGAAAAAAATCACAACAAATACTATTTAAATTTAAATTTAAATTTTGACAATTCTTAAATTTTCAAACTGAATTCAAAAATAACACAAGCACACCCTCAAATTAAGGTTGTCTTGGAAAGAAAAGAAACGTTCATATTATTGATATGAATAGTAAGATCAATCCATTAAAATTTTATTCATCAATTGAATGGCCGAGTATCAGTTTATTTATATACTGGAGTTGGTCTAGTATCGGTTTAACTCAACTTCCGAGTATTACATCATCGCCAACTTAAAAATGCAATCCTATATCTTCAAGGATCTTCAACCATTGAACCACTCAACAATTTGGTCAACAACTATAAGTTGTCGGAGGTCAGTTGTCGGCTCTACTACCAACTGTAACAAGAGGGTTATCGCCCGAAAGAACGGTCAATATGAAGAAAACTACAACTTTAAAAACCAGACCGAATCATTTGTCCCATTAACATACCCTATTTTCATATCCCCATACACATAATGTGTATATACATATGGGTGAGAGTAACCCTTTTGTCCCCATATAGATATGCCAATCCAAAAGATGATGTGACATTCGAGGCACATTACCCTTAAGAAAGAGTCAATTTGCTATGACTCAATGAAGATCAAAATTAGCACAAAAAATGTGAAGTAGCTAGCCGATCTTATATGAAAATCCATTTGGTTCAAACTCTATCGACTAAAAAATATTGGATTATATTGGAAAATTATGTATGTCCGATATTTTTCAAGGAAAATTGTTGGGTGCAAATCCAAGTCCCCCATTGGATATTGTGAAGAAAATTCTACATTTTACAAATCTCAAATAAACTTCACTAGTATGAGATCTTTTGGAGTAAGTCCAAAAAAAATCCGTGCGAGCTTGACTCAAAGCAGACAATATCATACTAGTATTGTGTTGATTCAGTTCCAATAAAAATTTATTACTCACCCGACAAAATAAAATTTTAGGAAGCTCAAGCAATCCAAAAAGCCCATAGAGAATGTAACCAAACTTTTGGAAGTTCAAGACATGTTCAAAGCTAGCAATGTGTTGGCAAATAGATTGGCTTCTTGTCTTTATCTCTTTGAAGTTAACTTTTTCTTAAATTTGGTTTCTTATTTTAAAATTTCAGCATTATGATTTTATTTAGTCTCTGGTATTAGATTATTGCATTCATCTTATTTTTATCTAGTGTTCTACATTTATTTCCTTTTGGCAATTTTTTTAATCTTCCAAGGTCTTTATTTTTGGTTATGTTTCATTACTTTTACAAATTCAATTATATATTCACGAGCGCAAGTCCGGACATTTTATTGAGTAAGATAGACAACTCACTTTGACGCCATTCTCGTCTAAATTTGATAGGTGTCTTTAAGGAAAACAATAGGGTTTGTTAACTTATTATTTTTTTTTGTGACACGATTGTTAAAGATTAACTTAAAAAATTATAATATATATATACAGTATCACCATATATGTAATATACAAATATTTTTCTTATAAAAAAATCAATAATTTAATACAAAATATTAATTTTATATTTTCATCATAATTTTTCATATTTTTTTTTAAAAAAACACATGTATACGGAAACATAAGTTAAAAAGATTATTTTCTAACATGTATAGATATATATTTATGTTTTTCAAACCCACGGGTCTAATGTGTGTAAATATTTATATATATTTTTAATATAAAATATGATATTCAATAATTATTTTGTCAACAATATGAAACTTTCAACAAAATTTGAGACATTTATCATTTTAGGTTCATTTGCTTCTCTCAAAGAAATTAATTAGAGCATCCACAATAGTTTAAGGTAAAAGAAGCTTAGGTGTCCAAATTTGAGACATTTATCAATTTTAGTTAGGAATGAAGGAGTATATTTTTTATTTTTGGAAGGAGTATAGTTTTTATTTTTATTTTTGGTGAATATAACATTTGTATTAGTTCTCTTTACTATAGATATATATATATATCATTCACTACCATTATCTTGTTCTATCTTCTACTTCTTCAACCTTATCCTCAAGTTGTCTATATATATATATATATATATATTCCTTCGGTTTAAGTGCCCATAAACAGAAACCGACAATTACTCCCATCAATTAAACCCTTTCTCAATCTCCTACTCTTATATATATATGTCTTGAAAAGTTATGTCGATAACAGAAAGGTAATAAATTGGTTAAACAGGCAAATGGAAGGAATGAAGTGTAGGAGAAGTATTAATATTCTTATAATTGGATTAAGTCTGGCAATTGGAAATTGTTCGTCGTGTGATTTCAAGGCTATATTCAATTTTGGCGACTCCAACACCGACACCGGCGGTTTCTGGGCGGCTTTTCCGGCGGAAAGGCCGCCGTACGGCAACACTTACTTCAAGAAACCCGCCGGACGCGCCACCGACGGCAGGGTTATTATCGACTTTTTAGGTACATTATTTTTAAAAATTTAAATTATATTTTCATAATCTTTTACTTTTATTATTAAGGAAAACGCAATTCAAAATTTGGCTTGGGCGAATAGATGGTAGATTTAAATTTTTATTTAAATATTATTTTTATATGATATTTTTTAAAATAAAATAGTACTCCATTTGTCACACATCACTAAATGAGTCTTTTGGAGTTTTGTAGTAGATTAAGAAATAAAAGTATTTTATTGGTTCAGTAAAAGCGTAAGAGGTTTTGACATTTTTATTCTATGTGTAATAATAAACTAAAAGGATTTTGGTATCAGTGTATAATTATTTTTATTAAAATAAAAAAAATGATACTTTTGAGTAGGACAGTACAAAATGATAAAAAAAATATACTCAAGAAAGAAATAAATATTATACTTTTATCGGGTAAATGTGCGAAATGAATAATATTAACTTTAATTTAAAAACACAACCAAACAAATATGATTAATTGAGATATATAATGTCAAAGGTAACATAATACTATTTGATGTGAAATTTGGTGAAAAATTATTGTTGGTAAATACTGTAAAAAAAATCTTTAAAATATTTATATAAATAAACGCTTATTTTTCATTTTTATTTTTCATTATAGTAAATAAATTTATGGCCATTTTTATACAATAAGTATAACCTTTAAGACCTAATATATAGTTTCCTACCTAGTTCATCATTCTCATGATATTTATTTTTGATCGATTCTGGTGGCGAAGCCGAAGCATTGGAATTGCCATTTATAAGCCCATACTTACAGTCGATAGGATCAAATTATAGTCACGGCGCAAACTTTGCGACATTGGCATCAACCGTGCTTTTGCCACAAACATCATTGTTCGTGTCCGGGCTTAGCCCTTTTTCCCTCGCCATTCAGTTCAATCAACTCAAGCAATTCAAGGTTCAAGTCGACCAACATCATCGCCATTCCGGTAATTTATATATATATATTTATACCGTATATATATTTTTTTATTAATTTTAATTTTAATTTTTTGAAAAAATATTGAGTGTTATTGTTAATTTTTTTCTTTTTTTTTTATTATGCTTAGCTGAGTATAATCTTCCCGGGCGAGATGTATTTGGAAAGTCTCTCTACACATTCTACATCGGACAAAATGATTTTACTGAAAATTTAGCCGAGATCGGTGTAATTGGAGTAAAAAAATTCCTACCAGATATCGTGTCTCAAATTAGTTCAACCATAAAGGTAGTTAAATCAAACCTATAGTTTTTATAAATCTTTAAGCAAATATGTTGATCATGTGATGATAAAATATATATATATATAAATATTCATAATCTATATGTTAATTATTTATAATTTCTTTTTATGATAAATTACGTCTTTTATGGTAGTAGTAATAATAATAATAACAACAACAACATCTCTACTTACAAAGTATCAAAATATCATATACAAATTATTCTTCAAATAAAATTATGAAATCAAACCAAGTAAACAAATCCTTTGTTTGTAAAATTATTGAGGTGATAATAATAGTTTAATACTGTTATGTTATGTACAAAAAAATATGTATTAAATGTAATGTTTTTGCTCTAGTATCAAACATAAATTCTTACAACAGTTATCATGTAGATATTATTATAGTAACTTCAAAAATTAGGATTTTATTTTCGAAAAAAAAAAAAAGAAGAAGTGATTTATTTGTCTTCTACGAGCTGGTTTTAGTTCATACTTAATTTTTACATACTCGAAATTTAATTTTCTAGGAAATCTACGCCTTAGGGGGGCGAACATTTTTCGTGTTAAATATGGCTCCTATTGGGTGCTACCCTGCATTTTTGGTGGAGCTGCCCCATGACGGTTTAGACATCGACTCATTTGGCTGTCTGATCTCTTACAACAAGGCTGTGGTCGACTACAATAATATGCTCAAAAAGACATTGGTACGAGTGGGAAAAGATCTTCCCGGCGCACATGTTGTTTGCGTCGATATCCATTCCATAATGCTCGACCTCTTCCAACATCCTAAATCTCATGGTAACAATTTTTCTTCTCTTTAAATAAGTTTCCATATATTATAGAAGTTTTTTCAACAAAATAGAATTTCGTTGAGGATGTTTATAGAAACCTTTCCATTTGAAGTAATATTTTTTATTCAGGACATAAATATCTACAAAATAATATTCATATTATATATTATTTATTGAGACAATAGTGTTTAAAATAATTAAATATTTTTTTTTAATCATATATATTATTTTTTATTTTAAAAATATTAACAACACCACTTATATGAAAATAACATAGCGGAGAAAGTATATATTAAGTCAATATTTATTTGTATGATTTAATTTCTCATATGGCTAAATAAAACCTAATAATACCAAATATAACAATCATCTATTACTATTAAGGATAAATGTATTTTTAGTCCTACATGTGATGTAATTATTATTTTTGTTTTTTAAATAAAGCATGTAAATAAATATTTCTATATTTAATAAGCAGTCGCTAAAAAAACTACATCTGGTACGAAAGTATCATTATGCGAGTTAATATGATCGAGGTTGACATGGATTAGCCACATAGTAATATGCAACACCAAAATTTGAAGTGTATTTAATTTTTAAATATATATGTTCTACTAAAATATACAAAATTAATTCTACATCAATATTTGGTACTAAAAATTACTATATGGCTTATTCATTTCAATTTTAGGAGTGTCATGTCAGTACATGTGATAATATTCCGACAGTATAGAATATATTCAACGTCTACATATTATATATAAAAAAATTTCAATATATAATATATATTGTATATGAGACTAGAATACATTTAGCTCCGATTATTTTGTACTTGATAACACAATATTACGACCATCTTGAGTAGGGTTCAAATTTGGAACAAAAGCATGTTGTGGCTATGGAGGCGGGAAGTACAACTTCAACAAAGACATGTTTTGTGGAAACTCGAAGATAATCGATGGTAAGAATGTGACAGCAACGGCGTGCGAGGACCCGTACAACTATGTAAGCTTCGATGGAATTCATGCGACAGAAGCGGCTAACAAACTTGTCGTTAAAGCTATGCTTACGGGATCTTACTTTTATCCTCCTTTCAATATTTACAACTATTGCGACATTAAGCCTATCATTTGATTCTCATTGTTGTCTCCCATAAAAGGGCTTGAATAACGTTGAATCGCAATTTTCAGCACTGTGCTGATTAATTAATAATCGTTAGGTAGCGGCTGTAAGTTTCCACATCATTAAAAAAAATAAAAATACAACGAATTACAGTAACACATGCGGCCGATGGCCATAAAATTTTTAGAGTCGACCAATTTCGACGAGGCGAACATTGTCGGTGACAGTGTTGATCGGCGGCAACATAAAGGGGAAAAGTGAACCCTAATTGCCTAGCTCTAATATTATTTGTTTGATTGTAATTTGAAATTGATTTAAATTAAAATGTTGATTTGAATTTTTATTTAAATAATATTTAGAATGTTTTATAAGAGATTTGATAATAATACATTTTTATTGAAAATCATGTGAATAATATTAATTTTAAATTAAAATTATAAAAAAAATAAACTCATAATGTTATAATTTATATAAATATATATATATATATATTCTCAGCTATAACACAATATTTATATATAGGGTGTCTTCGTTTGAGAAAAATTCTCTAAATTTTATTATTCATCAATTTTTTTTATTTTTTTCAAAAATATCAAACTAAACACTTATTTATTATTTTTTATATTATACTAAAAATTAATTTTACATTCAAAACATAGCATCATACACCGCTATTACAATTCAAATTTTTATATGTTCAAATGTCAATTTAAAATCCAAAACTCCAAACAAAAGGAACCATAATATATACACAAACCATCCAAAGGCCGGACTATATAAAGATATACACAACATACATAATTATGATTAAAAATTAATTTAATAGATATTGCAGTTTAATTTTTTACTATTTTAAATAAAAATTAATATTATTAATTTGATACCGTTTTAATAAAAATATGTTATTTATTTTATAAAATATTATATCAAAATATTATTTAAATAAAAATTTAAAACTTAAAAAACACAAATTAAATTTAGAGTATAGTGAATATATATTATTACTACTATTATTTATTTCTATGTCACGTCAGATTAATTAATCAGTGGTGGGAATCAACACATCATTTTCAATATTCATTTCAAAATTATGTACAAAATGATGTGCAATTTCTGTCCACTGCCACTTTTATGATGTGATATAAGTAACAATTTACAAGAAAACCCAATAAAATAAAATAAAATAAAATAAAATTTTGTCAAACCTTACGTGGCATCATGTATTTATACAAAGAGGAGAGAAAGCAATGTGGTAACAACCAATCTCAATCTCAACCTCAAGATCACTATTTTGTTCATTTATCTGCAGAAAAAAAAATAATAATAATAAAAAAAAATACTACATTCGTTCCATAAATATTGTCTTAAATGGATTGGACACAAGATTTAAAAAATATTGATATTATATTGATAGTTGATAAAAAAATATAGATAAAAAACTTTTTTGCCCTTCTGTGTGTATTAGTGTAAAAAATAGTGGCAATTGGGTAATAAAAATGAAAAAGTAAAGATATTATGGTGATATGGTTATTTATGGAAACAAGACTATTTTTTTGGGACGGACAAAAATGGTAAACAAGACTATTGTATTAAGACGGAGTGAGTAATAATAATAAATAATAAGCATACTTCTTCCGTCCCAAAAGAGTTGTCTTATTTTTTTCATTTTGGTCTGTCCCAAAACAATTGTCTTATTGTTTTATTTAATAATTGTGGTCCTTACTTTACAATAAAATTATTCACACTTTTTTAAACTACCCCTAATTATTACTCTAACCTATTTTTTAAAATTCTTAAAAAAAACAAGAGTATTTTAGTCTTTTACATTTTACTTTATATCCATTTACAATTAAATACTACTCCTCCGTCCCAACACAATAGTCTTGTTTACCATTTTTGTCCATCTCAAAACAATAGTCTTGTTTCCATAAATAACCATATCATCGTAAAACTACCCCTATTTTTTCATTTTTATTACACAATTGCTTCTACTTTTTACATTAATACACTCACAATGGTAAAAAAGTCTTTTATCCATATTTTTTACCAACTACCAATATAATATCAATATTCTTTAAATCTCATATCCAACTTAATTAAAACTATATTTATGGAACGAAAGAAGTATTATTCTTTGATTTTCGTGTTACCATCCAATAAGATGTCTCTTTTGGAAAGAATGGAGTAATTTTTAACACAGAGAAATCAGGTGCACAGAATATAATTTTTACAATTGAGTGAATTTTGGTAGGATGAGATAAAGTTAGTAAAAATTTATTTCAATCAAACTCTCCTTTAAACTATAAAGTGAGACAAGATGCTCTACACACTTTAAAATAATTATGTTTATAATTTATTAAAACAATTATTTTATTATCTCAATACTCTTTTCCAATTGTGATTTTTCAAAAATAATAATAAAAATACAAAATAATCTATACAAAAATAAAAAAATCAAAAGTTTTAGTATTCATATCTCAAGTTTAAAATTCAAACTTTCAAACAAATATTTGATCCAACCTTTTCTTGAGATGAATAAAATAGACCAACTCAACAATAAGTTAAAATATTTTTATTTTCTCCATCATAAAAAAATAGATTTATTATATTTATTTTATCTATTAGAAAAAAAAAATCTATTATTTTAGCAAAAAAAATCATATGATATTTTAGTAATTTTTTTTACAAAATATATATATATATATATACACACATTACATTAGAATTCATATAAAAAATAAATAAATTTATTTTTCGACGATTAACATGTGTCAAAATTAGTAGTTACATACACGAAAGTACTTGGAACAACAATCATCTCCTCTATATAAGTTGTAGACAACTATACAAATAAATAAATAATTATGTTACTCCCTCCGTCCTACGTACTATGTCCACGTTGTCGTTTCTGTCCGTCCAACCTACCATGTCACCTTTTTTTAAAAAATAATGATTATACACAATCTCATTTTAAACTTTTTAATTTTTTTTTTTTTTAATTTTAATTAAACTAATTAGTTATTTTAATCTTAATTTATAATTATTTATATTATATGATAATTATTTTCACTAATACATTCTTAATTATCTACTAATTACACCTCTCCTAAAATATAAAATACCGTGTCTACAGTGTAACAGACCTGGTATATGGGACTAAATAATATTTTATTATTGTCCAATAAATTTATGAATAATATATTTATGGTAAATAATTTTATTCAACAGTAACTCCATCTACTTTAATAAATAATATTCAATTTGCTTTATTACTTTATTATTAGTTTTCTAATAATTTTTTATAATATTTTTATTTTATTTTTATATTAAAATATTATTATTCTTTAGTGTTCGTATTTGAACTTTATGTATAAATAACCCGACAAAAAAAGTACAATACAATACAATAAAAATCTAGACCAGTGGTTGGGAATACTCCAATCAATTCCAAATTGTCACACAAATACATATATATATATATATATATATTTTTTATATGCCTGGTTTCTTGTATATTGGCCCTACAATTAATAATTAGTTGCATCCCACTTTTATGTTACACAGTATGAAAGAATTAAAATTATTGGTGGTTGGATTTCTCACTCTATTTAATATATATATATTTAGAAGTAATATATACTATTATATTTATATTTATGATAATTATCTTATTTAAAAAAAATTTTAAAATATTTTTTTGTTATTTATAAAATTTGTATATCACTGTAAATATGTAAGTATTTTTATGATAGTTTTATATTCTCACACTTTATTTCTCTCTCTGCATACAAATTTGAACACAAGTTATATGCATTAGAAATTTTGCAAACCGACAAAAGGCAAAACAGGTAATTCACAGCTGTCCTAAACATACATAGAAGTTTGGTGTGTAAACAAATATGAACAATGCAAAGACTTCCAATAAAGCTTTTCTACTGTCCCATTTATTTCGGGTGTGTTTGTTTAGGAGTTTGGATTTTGAGTTGGGATTTGAATAATAAAAATTTTAAATTTGAATAGTTGTATGATACGATATAAATAGATGTTGATGTGATGTTTTGAATGTAAAATTGATTTTTAGTATAATATAAAAAATAAAAAATAGGTGTTTAATTTGATATTTCTTAAAGAAAAAAATGGGATAAATAATAAAAATCTAATCCAATGCCAGTACAACCACACCCGAAATGGAATTGTGTCCTTTATTTATTTTTTTCCATATCATCTGTTTGGGGAAAGTTCACATTGTTAGCATGTGATGTATATTAGTTGAAATTATAATTTATATTAGTGTAATACTTCTTTCTCATTAAAAAGTTGTTATATTCTATTTATATATATATATATATGTCTCAAAACAATTGTATTATTTTTTGATTTAGTAATTATATTATTTACTTAACATAATAAATATCATTTTAATTTATAATATATTAAACAAATATTATTACTTTTATATTACATAATACTAATAGAGGATTTTTTAATTTATTTTTATTACAATTCAATATAATACTAATATTAAAAAATTTATGTGCAAAAGTAAATAAGACGGAGATAGTATATTATATGAATATTTTTTGTGATTGATTATATTATTATATCGTGCAATTTTTATCATTTCTTAATATATTATTTAATGCTATTCTGAATTATAAAAATAAATTAATATAATTTATTACTAAATAAGAAATAAAAATATTTTTTATTGACAAAAAATAAAAAAAAAAAAAATTAACACAAATTTAGGTGAGAGGAAGAATATAACGTACTCCCTCCGTCCACAAAATAAGTATACATTTACTTTTGGCACGGAGATTAAGGAATAATAGTATTTTAATTATAGTGGGTAGATAGAAGTAGTGAAATGACATTTTTGTCCTTACTTTTTTTTTTGTATAAAAGTAATTATGTGATGTAAAATAGATGTATTTGTGGAAAAAATGAGGTATTTAATGAAATGATTACTTTGTAATTGGACGTCCCAAAATAGAAACATGTATACTTTCTAACTGGACGGAGGGAGTATATATTTGTGTCAACTTTATTACGGTATTTCTGTTGTAACATATACTCGCATGACAAAAAGGTTTTATCAAGACAAATTTTGTAACAAATCATTTCATCAAACAAGTGGTTTAATTTGTTTGAGGAATGTATGTATATAAATTGAAAATATATATAATGAAGTAATTATACAAATTAATTTAATTAGCTAGCAAGAAAATAAAAATAAATAAATAAAATCAAGGAACATAGGTATTTTCAAGAATAGGATTTGTCCTAATAGCTGAAGCAAAGGGCATTCTTGTCTCTCCATTTATCCAAATTCTCTCCAATCCCTCTCTTCTTTCTGCTTCTCTTTCCATAACTCTCATCCTGTGACCCTCCCAAATCCTAAATCCCAAACCCCCCAAAATTCCAATTCCCAATATTACCCCTCCTGCGATAACCCCCCACACCCACCCCTTAAAACCCCCACCCCCACCCCCACCCCCACCCGTGTCCGGAATCACCAGTGAGAAATGCCCTGATCTTCTTGCCACACACGACTTTCTAGAAGGACTCGAAATTGCTTCACTAAGCTCCCACGTGCCATTTCTATCGAACCTCACGCACTGTATCAGACCACCTGTTATTCTCACATCATCGTCTTCTCCGACGAAGAAATTGATTCGAATTCCATGGCTTTTGCTTCTGCTGACGTTGAGATCGATTAATGTCTGGTTTAATGTTTTCATGTAGGAATCGTAGGCGAGAATGGCGACGACAGGCGCGACGAGGGTGTAATTCTCGATGCTGTAATAATTCGCCGACAGATTGCCGAGGTTCTGATACAGTAAGGTTATCCTTTTCGTGAATGGCTCCGGAAGCGCCGTTACCGGCGGGATTTCGACGGCGGAGGTGAAATTGGCGCCGGCGATCCAGAGGCGGTGCGCTCTCAGGCGGATCACCGACAGTTCGACGGCGGACATGTTGGCCGGCGGCGGGGCGACGGAGTAGGGCAGGCCGGTCTGAATTACGGGCAGGGTGCGGAGAGCGTAGTCGTGGAGAAAGGAGTCGAGGGAATCGCGGTTAGGGTCTGCCCGGACGCCGGAGAAGATGGTCCAAATTAGGACGAGGAGGCAAGACATGATCTGAGCATAATTTGGAGGTGTGGAAATGGTGATTATTGGCATTCAAAGTATTGTAAGGTTAGGACATGATTGGTTGATTGATTGGTTGATTGATTCTTGACTGACTGAATATTCTTTGTCTTGATTTTGTTGGAAGTTTTGGGAAGATGAAAAGAAGATTTTGATAAAAGGGGTTGCTGCAAATGGCACAAAATTAATATTGCAAATTTGTGGGGAGTTTTGGGAATAATGAGAAAGATTTGAATTATTATTAATCCTTTCTAACAAATTATCTATTTTTTTTTTATTTTGTATCCATTTTTATTTTATTTTATAATGAACTATTTATCTAATATTACAAATACTCTTACAATTTACAATATATTACACAAATATCATTATTTTTATATAGCACAATACTAATAATATTTATACTTTATTTCTATTACATCTCAATATAATACTAATATTTTTAAAATTTTATAAAAAAATAAATGAATACATAATTATGTAACGAATGAAATATTATAGTTATTATAATAACATAGTTGTTGCATAGGAATATTATTTAGCAAACACTTGACAATGCCCTGACGGCAACACACGCGCATATATATATATATATATACCATTTATATATTATTTTCAACTCAATTAATTTGTTTATTTTAGTTTTAGTTTTAGTTTGAGACATTAAATTTTAGATATTATGTAATTAATAAATATATTAGTAAAAATAATTATAATATAATAAAAAAAAATTATAAATTATAAATTAAAATGACTAAATAATTTAATTAAAATAAAAAATTATAAATTATGAATTTTAAAATATGATTAAAGTGTATAATTATATATTTTTTTAAAAGATAAATTATGTGGAACTCATCGAAATAAAAAGAGTGGACCATATGAGACGGATGGAGTAACATTTTACAAAATTTTTACTGTTCATAAAAAAATTTATCTTAAAAATATCGGATTAAATACTTATTTTTTATATATTATATTAAAAATTAATTGTACATTCAAAATATCGAATCAATATATATATATTTATATCATATCAAATCACCCAATCGCTATTCAAATTCAAAGTTTTTACTATTCAAATTCTAATAAAAAAATTCAAATGCCCAAACAAACACGCCCTTAGTTTATTAGGATAGTGTGTGTCGTGAGTAGGGTTGGTTTGGTTGTTCTATTCATATGATTCAATAACCATTAATCATGTTCTTTTCCCCATTTTTATTTATTTGTGTATTTATTTATGAATAAAAACAAAAAAGGTTTTTTGTATCATAGTGAACTTTCATAAAAATATCTATTGGATCTACCATACATGGCACAATCCTATAGTAATTCTTTAAACATAACCAATCATTTCATTTTTATTTATTTATTTTTTAATCGGTCATTTTTTGTTCTTTGTCCTTTATGTCATTTCAATATACTATCTCCGTTTCAAAAGAAGAGTAATATTTATTTTTTACAAATAAATTTTTTAATATTAGTATTATATTTATTTATAGTGAAAAAGACAAAAATGCCCCTATTAGATTGTGTAATATAAAAATAATGACATTTCTGTAATATATTAAAAATTGTAAAGATATTAATAATGTTAGTATATAATATAATTACTAAATAAGAAAATAGTATCCTCATTTTGAGACAGACAAAAATAAAAAATAATATCCTTTTTAATGCGAATATTAATTTTAGAGTAACTTTTTTTTTTTTTTTTATGTACCGTATCTAACTCCTTATATCTAAAAGGAGAGAGTAATTGAATAAGTATAAAAAATAATACTCCGGGTGTAATTAGTAGATAATTAAGAATGTATTAGTGAAAATAACTATTCAATAATATAAATAATTATAACTTAAAATTAAGATAACTAATTAGTTTAATTAAAATTTTAAAAAATAAAATTAAAAAGTTTAAAACGAGATTAAAATGTGTAATCATTTTCCAAAAAATGAAAATGACATGGTATGTGGGATGGACAGAAATGGCAACGTGGACATGGTACGTGGGACGGAGAGAGTAGTAAATTAATTATTATTTTCTACAGTAAAAATCATTAAAATATGTCTGAATCAAAAATTTTACTTATAAATTTTTTATTCTATATAAAAATCATAAATTTAAAGAACAATTAAAAAAATGATTTAATTTTAACAATTTAAAAGAATGTTTTTTTTTTTTTTTTTTTTTGTTTTTAAGTAAACTTTTGAGACAAATTAATCCTAATAATAACAGTGATAATAATTATATGGTTAGGGATAAAGTGCTTAATAATATTCAGCACTTATACTTAATTATTTTAATCCATATAATTAATTTTTATTATGAATATAATTATGATAGTTAATTCTCCACCGTAACTATATTACTTTATTTTTATCGTTTACATTTATACTTTTTTCTTTTTTTTTTTTATATATATGTCAAAAAACAATGTTTCCATTTTCTTTTATAAAAAATAAAAAATAAAATTAGTATCAATTACTCCCTCCGTCCACGCACTAATGATTTACTTTTTTATTTGGAACATATTGTTCTATTTTCTTTTTTAAACACATACTTTTAATTAGGCTAAAAATATAATCATCTAAAAAATATTATCTATTCTTATTAAAATGGGTAGTGATTGAATGAGCAATTATTTTAGGCCCAATAAAAAAGCCCAAAAAGGACATGAACTCCCAAACGGCCCAAATTATAGACCGCCGTCTCTTCTCCTTCATTTCTCCTCCTCCTTCTCCAGCTCTAAGTCAGGTGCAGGTGCAGGTGTGGTCGTCGCCTTCCTCGGATCGGCTTTACAGCTTCGGATCGATTTCAGCGTTGTCTGAGGTATGTATGTACGTATGGACGTTGATTTCTAGCTCAATTTTATTTTCACCTGCGAGAATAGGTGAGTCTACCCGTTTTTTCGCTTGCAAATTATTAAGCAATCGATTCGGCTTTTGTACAAAATCGTTAGAATCTGCTGGGCTATGAATGATCTCGAGTGCTATATACAAAGCTGAATTTGTAATCAGGAGCGACGACGGTTTTTTGTAGGGTTTATCGTAATAACGATTGAAATTCGTTAGTTTGTTGTCCATTGAACTTGTGGTTTTAGTTTGTTCGATGTGATTTGAATCCTGTTTTCTCTAGGAACCTCCATTGATTTCCTGCCTAACTCACTGTTATGTTCCTGATTTCTGTTACTGTCTTTTTATAATTCCTTTGAGAACTGATTATATGTCTCACTTTTTTTTGTTTAAAATTATTGACTGATTGGTAACAAGTAATGGTTTCAATATCTATTGCTTCAAAGAATTCAGAGCAATTATACTAATGTTAAAATCGAATTAGGGTTTGTGATTGGGTTACAACGTGAGTAAAGAGGGCTATATAAAGTGGAAGATGATGAGCTCTGCAGTGATCAAGAAATGGAAGCCATTGCATTCCTCGTTGGACTCTTTAAGCTGCCAGCTTTTGCAGAGATGTTCTGTAAGCAGGACAGCAAAGGGAAAGGCTAAAATCAAAGCCGGGCAGCCATTGAAGCGATCAAAGGTCACCACAAGAAAGGGGGGGGCTCCAGATTCGAGTAAAGAAGGACCAAGAAAGCGCAGTGAGTTCGACGAAATGGTTGATCAATGCTTGACTGCAACTCCACCATTAAGATTCCTGAAACCTAAGGAAATGGCTCGGGAAGCTGAGAGGGAGAAGATGGGGCTGATAAGCAAAGCTAATGAGCAGGCGAAACAAAAGCTAAAGAAACAGGGGAAAGAGTTCGATTCACCTTTTATCATGGGGACACCCGGAATGGATTTGATTAGCTTGGGCTTAGTCGATGCTGAAAAAATTCCGAAGTACGAACTGACTGTTGAAGATGGACGGAGGCTTGCTAAGGAGTATAGCAGAGTTTTGATGAGGAAACACAGGGCAAGACAGGCTGCAGAATCGACATTGTTGCAGTTAAAGAAGGAAGCAATTGAGGCTCTACCCGAAGACTTGAAAGCAGCGGCTTTGGTGCCTGATTTAACCCCTTTTCCTGTGAACAGGTTTATGGCTACTCTAACACCTCCAATCGAAGGATATATTGAGAAGATCAACGAGGCAGCTCGGAAGAGTGCTGCCAAGGAGAAACTCAGATGACGAAAGGTAAGAATCCATTTGTGATCCTTATCGTAATTGTGAAAGTATTCATCATTTTTAAGAGTAGGAATACTTTTGTTGATTGATTAGATTTTGTATTTCAGTTCCATCGTAAAGAAATGTTCTATGTTCTTTATGCATCTGTTTTCATCTTGTGTTTTAATCAATGTTCAAAGAATGCTGACAACTTTGAATTGGCTGAATAACAGACACTGTCTGCTGCTTGTGTGCGTTGACGGCGAAATTTAAGGAATTCTGATCGATCGGTGAATAGCAGTTGGTTTCTGTTTGTGGTTCGACGGATCAACAATGCTTTGGACAGGCCATGGCCGTGTTTGGAGGCATAAGTTTGCAGGATTCAATAGACTCTTGGTGGTACATTTAACATTTATGGCAATTTCTTTGCTGTCTCTACAATTCGACTTGTTTGTGTTACTGAAACAAGACGTAATTCGCCTCACTCTCTATTTCAACACTTGCAAATTTTTGAATTGATGCTCCGCAAAATATTTTGGGATAAACTTATTTTTATTATCGTTTATAGCAACCGTTACGATTTTAGTCATTTGAGTAAATAGAAATAGTCTTACATCTAATGCATAGTCTTTGAAAAAGTCCTCTAATACTGAAATATTGTCACATGTATTGACATGACTTCTCCGAAACTAGCTAACGTGAACTTGTTACGTTGACATAAATTTAACTTTTAGATAGATATACAAATATACTCCCTTTTTCCCTATCAAATGCATACTTCTACTTTTTTTTTACAGTGGATTGCGAAATAATAGTATTTTATTAATAAATGAAAATGCATAATATATGCCACGATTGGAACTGAAAGTACATTTATCCGAAATATTTATTTAGAAATAGATACTTGCTATTAACCTGTACACAAATACAGGAACTTTAGCATCAAAATTTCTCCAACAGGAAATTTCCTCAACCCGAAATCCTACCGTCTCACGACGAGGGCGAGGGCGAGCCCATGGGACGAGACTTCAGGCCTTCGACGCGCGCCTCCATTAGCTTTGTCTTCAAAGAACCGGATTTGATGCTTCCCGGCCACCTCAAAGCAGTGCTGGAATCGTACGTATCTGAAATCCATTTCTTTACAGGACTCGAAGGGCCCGTAAACATTGACGAGTTTATAGACCCTTCCAGATTCTTAACTTGTCTTGAAGCTGCCGTATTGTGGAGATCGTCGCCATTAGTGTCGAACATCCTGTTCTTTCCTTCCCGTAAAGGTCTGTGCATCGTCTCCCCTTCTCTACTCTTTCTTGAATTACTATATGTGTATGGAGACTTCTGCTGCATTAGCGACGTAGATGCATCGAGATCCTTCAAGGTTTGTACCTTTTTCTTGCCCACTTTCGATATTGCACTTCTTTCAACTGAGTCATCTTCTTCGATTGCCTTCCATGGAGCACTTGCAGGCTCGTTCAAACGAAACAATTCGAAACAATTCTTCACAGGGATTGAATTGTTCTTACCTGATTGCTTCGCTTGGAGAAATCCCTCGATTTCGAAGCATAGTTTGTCCAAATCAGACGACTTTTCGAAAACATGAGGTTCCGATAGCTTCATCTGAGATCGCTGGTCTAACCAGGCTTCGGAAATGTGAAGGATTAATCGACTATCGCCGTCCCTTTTAGTCTGATCCTCGCAATATTTGTGCTTCATAGATCGAAGCTCTTGCTCGTAATCTCCTATCCCTTTGGCAAACTCGTCGCAAAGATCTTCGAGCAGTGTTCTCGCTTTCCTCTCTCGCTCGAGCTCTTTTAAAGTGTTGGACAGTAAAGATTTCAAATCGAGAAGCTCGTTGCCCGACTTACGAGTGAATCGATCGGAGTTTCTTCGTAATTTATGTTCGTCCTCTATCTTGCCTTCCCTCTCCTTTTTCATCGCGACTTCATACTCCGATAGGCGCTTCGTCAGATTATTGATTTCTGTTTGATCTGTCTTCTTCTCTTGAAGCAGTTCTTGTATTTGTTCCTGCGACTGGTCCAGCTCCCGTCTAAGCATTTTTACGATCGACATATCCAACGCATGCTTCTCCTCGAGGCTCCAGATTCTGTTGAGAACTTTAAGCAACTCGGTTGACGTCCTGAGGCTCGGACTCGACTCTCCAAGTTTACCCTTGGCGAGTACAGAGTCGTTTGGTGCTATGGCCGGTCTATACGGAGGCATCTGGAATGGAATTCGGAGAAAATTAACGGCACAATGTAACATATTTAGGATAATATGTAACTACTATGCAAGTAGACAAGGAACAATTATAGACTTATACTCAAAAGTAGAGCCGTTAAACAAATCGAGTAGTTCGCTAGCCTGACTTGGCTTGTTTACAGAGATAAACGAACCGAGTTTGAGCTTAAAAATTAATTTTTTTTATAAACAAGCCGAGCTTGAACTCAAATTTAAATTTGAGCTTAATGAGCTAAGCTCGAGCCATATCTTGGCTCGAACTCTTATCGAGCAAAGTCAAGCCTGTACTGTTAACAAGTTCGAATCGAGCTCGAACAACTAATAATCGAGCTCGCTCGGCTCGTTTAACAGCTCTACTCAAAAGAACACTTCATCGAAAGCTGCAAGATTAGCTATATATACTCATATCAATCAGAATGTGAAAATGCAATGGCATCAATCCATGTAAACAAGTTTACAAAGTGTTTACACATAATCATAGAACACCCCTCTACATACCCCGGTTCGAGTTACTTCATTTTCATGTTAAATGAAACCGGGCTATATGAAGACCGAAACACATCAAGTATTATTCTTCACATTCGAAAACCACAAACATATATATACATATATATACATAATGTCAAAACTCTATTATGTGAGACTTCTGAGAACTAAAGTGTGACACTCCAGCCAGCAAGCCATGCAAAACCGAGCATGTCGTGATTGCAGACTACCTCATAGGTTAACAAGAGTTAGAACACGAGTCCTTTCAACATGCTTTGTCCTCACTTACGCTCACCGTGAGAGACTTCTCAGGGGAAAATATACTCAAGAACAAGAACGTTCAACTCTAAATTTCTTTCAATAGAGCTCTCGAAAAGGAACGTACACATTAATATACACATTGTTGACATGAATAGTCTATTCAACCCATTTAAACTCTATTCAATTTTGGATAGTCTAGCACCGACCCAACTTCAGAGTCTCACATAAATCATAAACAAGGTTGCTAGAGCATTAAAAATACCTCCATAGAGCTACGGTAGCTAGCAGGAGACGCGGGCTGTTGAGCTTGCACCGCCTTTTTCACTCGTAGATTGTGTTGTGTCGGTGATGCCGCAGCCGCTTCTCCTAAATCAACGCCACTTGCCGGCTGTCATGTTAATGTAGTAATCCACATTACAAGTCTTGAATCACAAGGCTAGTTTTTCGAAAATATTGCCATGAGCAAAAGAATGCATTGTAAATGCACAAACGACGAGCATATAAGCAAGCATTGATAAGAAAACATCAAATGTTTTAACTCCATTTTCGGCATTCACATTTCGATTTTGCTTCTGTACTTATCAACAACATATAGCATATGATAACAATTCCACCTCAAGAAACTTATTTCAAGATCCAAAAACATTCCTAATCACCAAATAACATATCCAAAACTTATATAGCTAAGCTAACAGATCATAATCCAAACACACAAGAAGCACTTAGCAACACAGAGACAGAAGATGAAGATCATAACACTAAACACACAAGCAGCACATCAGTGATATACAATCACGATCACATTTGAGTTCGAATTAAGCATAGAATTGATTGCAGCTTCCAAATCTCACCTGCTCGTCGTGTTCCCCTCCTAACTCCTTGGATTCAGTGTTTTCCCCTTTCTGATGAAGTCGAATTTTCCTCAGCTTTGCCAGGCTAGGGTTACTTTCTGGCAGCATTTCCCAAAGATTGGCTCCCAATTTCCTAGCAGACAGACAATTAGAGGTCGAGGAGAGATGGAAATCGGGAAGCAGAGTACCATCAGGTTGAACAAATCCGAAATTCCAAGTAGGCGAAGGTGTGGAATTCCCCTCGCGCTTCCCAATCGAAACTCCGCGTTTCAACTTTTCCCCAATTAACTGTCTCACCTTTTCCCCCTTTTCCATCCCTAACTTTCGAGTAACTTCCACTAATTATTGGTGCCGCTGTAATTCAATTCAATTCGATTCAATTCAATCAATCAATCGCTCGCAGACGCATTAATTTTGTCCAATCTTCGCATATGCACTTCAATTCCTGCCAATCAATCAATGAACCGAAAATAAAGCAGCAGCACTTCGTTAAAAACTTTCAACTCTCTCCATAACCATACCACACACATGCTGGAGCTCGACTTTCGCACAGTATCCTCTGGAAAATCTTCTCCTTCCTTTTCCAACGCTTTCGCAGCACGCCAGTCCTGCTTTCCTCCTCAAAAGAAATTGCCGCCATGAAATGAAGTCATCATGGAGAAGACTTCTCAGATCAATCATCACTACCCTACCTTACCTACACACTACACACACACCTATGTATATATATACATAGTTTTTACACTGTATTTTTGGAAATCAAAATCAGTTCATGGATGAGCGTGCGGGAGACACGTGGCAAGTTCCGACCATTTGTTTGGGTTCAGTGCTGGTTTATTTTTATAAGTAAAATAATTTTACTACAAATTATCCTTGTCGAAGGATTGGATAAATTTAAATGTAAAAATAACTTTAAATTATACCGTGTCCATATTACTTGTATTTTTATTTGTCTCATATTTTATAGTATCTTCTCTTCTTTTTTTTTTAATTATGGTCACTCGTAAAAACTTTTTTTTTTTTTTTTCGTCCTAATTTAAGGTATTTTTTTATTATATTTATTCATCCCCCATAATACCTTTTTTTTAAAAAATAAAAATAATTATATATCAATAAAAAATATTTTTATTTTTTATTTAAATTATAAATATAGTTCAACACAAAAAAATTAAAATCTCTTACATATTTTTACATATTAATAAAATATTATTATTTTTAATTTACTATAAAATCTCAAACAAACGAAAGAAGTGAGTATTATTTTGTATCTATAATGCATGATAGCATATCTAAGACGAGAAAATATATATGTATTTTTTTTCTAAAGAGATTAAATTAAAAAAAAAAAAAAAATTATTTATTTAATGAATCAAGAATGCCTTAAAATGTGGGGCATTGTGGTCCATGGCCTAGGCTAGAAGTAGCCACGTGTAGAGAGCGTGACCAAAATTATTTGCCTCGTGAACAAATAAAAAATACTTAAGTTACGTTTTGATATGTTACTGTGAAATAATATTTTTTTAAAATATATATCATATTAAATAATTATTATCCCGTTCTTAAAAAGTATTCTTATTTTACAAAATATAATAATAATAACACTTTTAGACGGATGGAAATATTTATTTTATAAAATATTATATTAAATATTTTTTTTTTATTTTTTTAACTGTTAGAAACTTTTATGTGAACATAGCTTAAATTATATTAATAAATTTTTTTAGTATTTAAGACTTTTTTTTATTTTGATTTAAAACTAAAAGAAAATAATTTAATTTAAATTAATATTTTATAAAAAAAAATTAAAATATATGTTTATTGAAAATATAAAACTAAATAATAATCATTTTGATTTGAAATACACACTAAACGCACCCTTAGAAACTAATTCAAGACTTCAAACACTTGGGGAACATGCTTAGATACAATCCAATATTTTAAAGCAATATTTATTATTAGTAATATTTTTTTATTGTATATGTATATCTAATATATTAAAGGGAATTTATAAATTTTGTCCTATATATTAAACAAATTATTATTTTTTAAATTTTGTAAGTTAGAATAATATCTCGACGGTATACCTTAATTTTGGCCATCGGCATAAAAATAAATTCACGTGCAAGTCACATATTCTATGTGGCATTATGCCGGCATATAGGATCATGTGAATTTTTCGGACACTGAAGAATAAAATTAAATTTTACTGTGAGATATTATCCTAAAATGCAAAATTTTAAAAAATATATATATAAATAATAATTTGTTTCACATATAGAGAAATTTTTTATTATGATAAAAGAATGTTTTTTAAAAAAAACAAGCTACAAGAAGGTATTAAGCCCAAGAGAAGAAAACAATCACAACAATTGTGACATTAAATATAAATATTGTTTATAACAACTATTACAAATATTGTATCTATTTGGACAATGATTTATAGGTTACAACAATAATATCTATTTGAATCAATGTCTTGCCACAAGTACCACTTAGAAAAGTCGTAAATTGGATAAGATGAAGAAGAACTTGATTTTATGAAAGAAAATTGAATTATATCGAAATTAGAGAAGTAAAGTGTTTAGATGTAAAAAATCTACAAAAATTCAAGAACTTCAGCATATAGATATATGAGATGTCGTTTCGTTTATACTTTCAAATATTCGAAAATCAAAGTTGTTAGAAATTTTGGGGGAAAATAAGAAGATTGTATTACTGATCATAAAAATAAAGAGCCTGTATATAAGCAATACAAAATAGACTCGATAGACTCAAATATAAGTAATTTAATCTATGAATAATATCAAATCCAAATATAAATCTACTAAAACTATCTAAAATATCTCAACAAAAATATCTCTAAAATTAACTTATTTGAATATATGATGATAATATACACAAGAATTTACAATTTTCTAATATCCAAACTTGACACGTTACAAGTCGAATGCCCTCATCCATAAATGAGCACATAAAAAAAAAAAAAAAAGTTCAATTTTTCTTGAAACGAAAAATTTTCATATGTGTATAAGTAACTTCCTTACAGGTGTTTTAAGGCAAAATAATTTTTCAAATAAATCATTAAGAGGATGGCAGATCATTTACTGATCCGATCCCGTTAATATTGTACTAATTTGAATGGTTAGCATACATTATGAGTGATCAGCATATATATATATATACATATTCTGTCATTACAAATTTTAATTTCTCAGATAGTTTATCCAACTCGCATTCAAATGTCACATTACCGAAGAAAATCCAAAATATGACGATTTGTATTTTATTGTCAATTATAAATTATGGTAAATGTCGAAGAGGGAATCCAACATCATTGGAGGTTTATATTAACTATGTAGTAACGTCACGTGAGGATTAAAAGTAAATAATATTTCCTTCGTCCAACATATTGTGTCATATTTATTGTAAATATGGTATTTTAAAAGTGACACAATAAATAAAATATATTGATAAAAGTAGTTATATACCATATATAATATAAGTAATTATAAGTTAATATTAAAAAATTTATTTGTCTAATTAAAATGTATAAAACAAAATTTCAAAAAATAAATAAAAAAGAAGATGTTCGACAAATAAAGTGGAAAAAATAGAATGTTGTTGACAGCCAATCGACTCAATTCTATTTTAATAATTAATTTTATTAATTCAAATGTCATTGTCACGTCGTCGATCACTATTACGAGTAAATAAAATACTACTCAATCGCCATCATATTTTGTAATTAAATTATGTCATTTTATTTATTCACAAAATTTTAAAAAATAATATTTTAATATTTAGAACAAAAAGAGTACTATTTTTAATTTTTTTTTATATAAAAAACAAATAATAATTGTCAAATCGCATTGCGGGCAAACCTACAAATCTACAATATATCATTCGTCACTAGTTCCAACTCGGGTCTGCCAAATCAATTTTAAGGCTTTTCAATTATCTTGAAACTAAATATATATTAAAATAATCCATATTTGAATTCATTTTTTTTTTAATATTAAAACAATATAATATATATATATATATATAGGGTGTGTTTGTTCGGGGGTTTGGATTTTGAGTTGGAATTTGAATAGTAAAAATTTTGAATTTGAATAGTTGTATGATGTGATATAAATATGTGATGATGTGATGTTTTGAATGTAAAATTGATTTTTAGTATAATATAAAAAATGAAAAATAGGTGTTTGATTTGATGTTTTTGGGGGGAAAAAATTGGATGAATAGTAGAATTTTGTTAGAATTCTACAAACGAACACACCCATATATTCTCTCTCCGTTCCTTAATAATTTATCCATATTTTTATTTTGGTCCGTTTCATAACAAAATATTACAAATATTATTTCAATTTACAATATATTACACAAATGTCATTACTAATAAAGTTAATTTAGTCTTTTTACTTCTATTTTATCCAAATATAATACTAATATTTCTAAAACAGAAAGCAAACAGATGCGGGAAGGAGTATTTAATTTCTTTCTAACTAAAAGTAAACCAACTCACATCACATTCACAATTAAACAATATGCAAAATCCAACCAACCAAACCTAATCCCCATTCTATTCAAACCATATACATCTTCTCTTAACCAAAAGAAAGAACCACAAAAACATGTAGGGGCTAAAAGAATGTCCATATGTTGCATATATCGTGCCGAAAATATTAAAATTTCAAAATTTATATTTTCAATATATACCAAAATTAGTTCGGCATGTATCAAAAATATCGCAGATTATTTTAATATTTTGATATTCGATATATCTGATCATATCAATAATTAGAAAATTGGTATACTCCACTTTATAATGTATATCGCATAGAAATTTTTATAGAACTTGATATACTGAATTTTTTAACATATGTCGTATCGAAATTTAACGTATTAGAAGATTGGTACTACCCTAAATTTCGATACCATATATTCAGTATACAAAGTTCTATCAAAAATTCTATACAATATACATTATAAAGTCGAGTACACCAATTTCCTAATTAGGCGTCGGTATGACATTTACCATACCAAAAATTTCGATACGATGTACACTATAAAATTCAGTATAGCAATTTTCTACTATAGTTTCATTATGATATTTTACCATACCTAAAATTTCGAAACGATATACACTATAAAGTTCAATATATCGAATTTCTAATACAGTCTCGATATGGTATTTTACCACGGCATGATACATGTTATAAATTTCGGTATACCGTACTAGTCCACCCCTAGAAACATTAACCAAATTGCCCATTCATCCACAACCAAATTCAATTTCCAATCATTTCTACTTATTAAAAATAATAATAATAATAATCAACAAAACAAAATAGAGAATAGAGAAATTCAAACACAGGCAACACAAGTATTCATCATCTTAGAACCAATCCAACCATCAAAATTCAAAGGAAAAACTTCAGCAGAATCAAATTCAAAAACCACTTAGAACCCAATGAATGTATCCCTCTCTCTCTCCTCTCTCTCTGTATCATCTCTGTCTGTATCATCAAGCTACCATAAAGAGCCCATACATATATATAGATATATAGATATAGATTATATATATATATATCGTACCTTCTACGGCGCGATTTCCAGCCGCGGCTCGAAGCAGAAGCCAGTGAAGAGCTGAAGAGGGAACTTCTTCGTCACCGGACACTTCTGCGACCATTTCCAATGCTTAACCTTCATATCGAACACAAGAAGCGCCGGCGAGCCGTAGCTCTGAATGTACACCAAATCAGCCGTCCCGCTGCTCGCGAAAACGTCGTCGAATTCGCCGAAACCTTGGAAATACTTATGCGGCATTCTCGCAATTTCCTCCCACTCCCGCCCCTTCAGAACCCAAATCCCGATCCCCTTAATAATCCCGGGTCGATCCCTTTTCCCGATACCCCCGACTAAAACAAGTTTCTCCTTCAAATTCATCAGTCGCCCGCACGTAAGCGCGCACGGGACCGGGACAAAGCTCCTGATCAAGACTTCGTCGGAAATTTTGCTCCGGAGATCGTATGTAATCAGACCGTGGCGATTGTCAGGCCCGCCTCCGCCGGCCGAGTAAATCAAGAAGTATAAAGAATCGCCGCAGATGACGCTCTCGTCGCCGCCCCTCCACCCCGTCAGAATCTCCGTCAACGGAGTCGTCCACGCCTTCGTCGACGAGTCGTAGACGTGGATCGTGAGATCCCATTGGAAGAAGTTCCCGGGCACCTGCTTCGATTTCACGATCACGACGTTGTATTCGTGGGTTTCCCTGTCGACCGACACCGCCAACGCGCTGTAGTCGGAGATTTGCAGACCCGGCGGCTGCGGAAGCGCCGCCCAGCACTTTGTTATCGGGTTGCAGACGAAAAGTTTGCTACGGCTGTCGTTGTCCATTACGCAGACTAAACCGCACGACGATGAGACGAACCAGTCGGAGGTCTCGACGCAGGGGAGATCGATGCCGTACCATTTTCGGAGGACGGGATCGTAAGCGAAGCCGACGGGCTCGTCGGAGCTCGTGAACATGAAGTACCAAGGCTTCTGCGACATTACATTCGAGCTGTTCCATAGAAATCTTTTTGAAGAGACGATCTCGTTCCATCTTTTGCATACAGATCCGGCTCGGAAAATGCTGGCGATTGGGAGATAGGAAAGAATTCGTTCCAATAAATCATCAGGCAGAACTAAATCCATAGAAACTGCCGCGTCATCGTCTGTCTCTTCGTTTGTCTCAGAAAAGGAATCCAAAGCCACAGTGGTGTTCGTGGCGTGATCGAAGCTGTGACTGATCCATGAAGTCTCTTCTTCCATGATTAACGATCTGCAGAAACAGAAAAAGAATTGGCAAAGGAACTAATCCAACACGTGCTTTTATATTTGAAGAAACTAATCGAGCAATAAATAGATTTCCAAATCGAGCAACAACAAACAAATGCATCCATTAATGCCAACCGAATTAGGGATAAAAGCACGGCGCACAAAGAAGCAAAGATAAAGATACAATGCAATTTAAGAAAAACCACAAAGAATTTCACTGATGAACAAACCTATAACAACAAAATTGGCGGCGTTCTAATTCCGAAATACATAACAAACCGATATTCAAAGCTCAAACATTAGAACAACACCAAACAAAACAATTTCCGTATAAATCCGGACATAACTTTCAACTATGGCTCCAACAACCACATTCTATCCCCAAATCACAAATTACACTTCCAACAAGATAATGTAAGCTTTAAAGAACAAGAAAAACATTCCATCGAGCTATAAGATCGCCTACTAACAAAATCATATACCGAAAATCGTAATCCCTGATTCTTAACACAGAGAGGCTAAAGGAAATCTAACATGGATAATCAATCATTCAAAAGGGCTAAAATCTTCAGAAATTTTGTATATACCCATCGATGAAATTTATAAAAAGTTTCTTTGTAATTGAAAAAATTTCTTGACCTAAATCGGAAATAGCACAATTGCAGAAACCAACAGCTCCATAAACCAATCGATTCATGATTCATCGCACAGCATCTAATTTGAACAACCAGAGAAGAACATTACCGACAACAGTGGAGGCAAAAGGATAAAATTCTATAAAATCGAAAACGAAAGAGACAATAGAAACGACGCGCCGACCTAAACAGATCTCAGGAACATAATGAAGTAGGCGATTCAAAACGACGAAATAATTCTTCCTAAAAAACAAATCAAATACTCTACCCTTGATGCAGAGCACAGAGAGAGGAAAGATTCAACACAAACACACAGATTCATATATCTACAGCAACATTCAAACAACAAGCGAGATGGGGACAAACCGATTGAATATAAGCGATAAAAAACGAAACGGCGCAAAAGTGGATTGGATTTGATTTGATTCGATTCGTCGATAAACCTGGAACAATCCACACAGTATTATTACTACGATTACGATTACGATTGTGATAATAACAACAGTGTTTACCGTCCTCCCCCGAAATGCTGATTTTGTCCCTCTTCGATTTTTTAACCCTGAAACAAAAACGAAACTCAAGTTGAGAGGAGGAATGCCAGCGAAGGGCGGCTTTCCATTTTCCTATAGGGGTTTGTTTTTGGATTTGTTGACACGGACAAAAAAGTGGGAGCTGTTGCTGTTGGGCGAAGGGAATTGATTTTCAGTGCATTTCTTCGATGCGGTTTTGAGGACAAATTTTGGATGCGAAGGAGAAGGGGAAGGGAAAGCCCACCAGGCAGGCAGCCCCAGTAGTGGTCTCGAATTAAAAATGTGTGTATGTCTATGTGGGGAATTCTTGTTTTGTTCGAAACGAAGAAAGATGAAAAGGCAATGGCGCCGCCGCCGCCGCCGCTGTTCTTCGCCGATCGACAGACACCAACCCTTTTTACTCTCTTTTTCTTGTTTATCAACTTTCAGTTTTTTATATTTACACTCCGTAATTTTGGTTTATTTCATTTATGTACGCATATTTGTGACATCTTTTTTCACTTTGTTTAGATAGAGATTTTTAGAAGTTTTTGAAATTTTATAAACTTTTAAAAAATAAATTTAGTATTTGATTTGATGTTTTGTAAAAAAAAAATTATATTTAATATAATATTTTTAAAAAGATAAATAATGTCTAACTAATACAAATGTGTTATTTAAACAAATCCTTTATATTTCTTCTATGGGTGTGTTTGTTTGGGTATTTGGATTTTGAGTTGGAACTTGAATAGTAAAAATTTTGAATTTGAATAGTTGTGAGATGTAATATAAATAGGCGTTGATGTGATATTTTGAATGTAAAATTAATTTTTTCATATAATATAAAAAATAAAAAATAGATGTTTGATTTGATGTTTTTTTTTAAAAAAAAAAAAAAAGGGATGAGATAAATAGTGGATTTAACCCACACAAACACATCCTATATTGATTCAAATGGGCTTTTTTTTTTTTAATAAATTAAAAAATAATAGTAATATTGTATTGATAAGAAAAAATATGTAGAATGTTTTTTGAAGTTTTTGTCTTATTAAAATATTGTACTTTTGAATTAGATATAAATGATAAGAAAATATTTGAAAGGTGAAAAATATTTTCTTTTTATTTTTCTTAATTCTACCTTTCATTTTATTTATATATATTTTTTACTTTGTTTAGATTCAAATTTTGGATAATTTATTCTCTATTTGATAAAGTAGAAAATTTAACAAAGAATGAGAATTGATTTACTCGGTAAAATTAAAAATTCACCAAAAAATATAACATATAAATGTCAAATGAATAAGTTAAAAGAAATAATGTATGGCAAAATGATTAATAAAATGATATGATCGATCGAATAAGAGACATTTGGGCAAATAAAAATTGATATATTTAGTTAGAAATTTTTTATATATTTTATTTTGTTTGGAATTTTTAATTTAAATACAATATTTTATAAAATAAAAGAATATATTTTATAAAAGTTAAATAAGAGCAAAGAAAAATAAATGTTTATGGCTTAATTATAATTTATGATTATTTGTATAGTACATAATTAGTTTTACAAATATATTTTTTTAGTTACTTGCTAATTATAATATTTTTAAATTTTCGTATCTACAGCAATTTTGATATTTTATCTGAAACAAAATGAGTATTTATTAACAATAATTTATTTAGAAACCAATATCAAAATAAATATTTTTTCTCATCTCACAAAATATTACATTAAATACTCAATTTTTTTAATTATTATTTTTAAAAATTCTAAACGTTCAAATTTTCTATCTTTTAAAGTAAAAAAATTACTCATATATTTCACCTAAAATTAACACTCATACAACTCCCTGTTAATTAAACTTTTGTATAAGCAACAGTATCTGAGGCTTATTTAATGTAATTTAATTTAATTTAATTTAATTTGTAGCACTGCCAAACTACTAAATTTAATGATTTTAAAACTCTATGCTAAATTAAATATTCGAAAATCAATAAGCGAATGCTCATTCCTACGTATAGCCAATTTAATATTTCCTGCATCCCATCAAATTATGAAGGTTTGCTTGAGGACATATACTTAAAAAAATAATAATGATATTATAATACTCTATTCTCTTCGTCCTACGACAAATTATTATTTTTTTTTATTTTAGTTCGTCGCATAACAAAGTATTTATTTATTTTTTTTTTGTAGTTGTACTATCTGCCTAACACTACAAATACCCTTGCAACTTACAATATATTACACAGATGTCATCACTTTTATATCACACATTAATAATAAGGTTATTTTAGTTATTTTTATTTTATTACTATTGCATCTCAATATAATACTAATATTTCTAAAACTCCGTGCAAAAAGCAAACAGATACATAATTATGAGACTGATGGAGTATTAAAATAAGATAAAAATATTATAAAAGAAAATATCAAATGATTAATAAAAAGACGACGGAGTAAGTAGAAAATTAGTGGAAAATCGACTACTATTATTTATTAAAGTAAAATAATAAAAATATTGATAAATAAAATTATTTAATATAAATGAATTGTAAACAATTTTTTTTTTTTTTTAAAAAAAAGAAAGAAAAAGAGATAGTAGAATATTGATAATAGTTTCCCATTAATATTTGATAAATATTTAAAATTAGTAATTTTTATTTATTAAATATGGTGCGATAATTTCTTAATTTAAGAAATATTGCTCAAGATCGCCTTGATTGTATATATATGATATCCTCCTTATTCTATTTATACTCGATTTTCTTTTATTTACAAAAATATATACTTCTTCTGTCCCAATACAATAATTTTGTTTATTATTTTTGTTCGTCTCAAAACAATAGTTTCATTTTCATAAATAACCATATCACTGTAAAACTACTCATACTTTTTCATTATTATTACACAATTGCCATTACTTTTTACACTAATACACCCACAAGGGCAAAAAAAAAAAAATTTATTTGTAATTTTTACCCACTACCAATATAATATTAATATTTCTTAAATCCCGTGCCAAACACAATCCATACTATAGTTTTGAGACGGGATGAGTACTTTAATTGGAGAATTCATTTTAAAAACTATAAATTAGTCTTGTGTTTGTTTTGTGAAAATGGTTTGGAGGGATTTTTTTTAATTTTTCTTAATGTAAATATAAAAAATTATGTTGAAAATATAAAAATAATAAATACATGTAATATAGTACTCCCTCCGTCTTATTTACCATGTCTATGTTGTCGTTTCTGTTCGTCTTACATCTGATGTCACTTTCCTTTTTTGGAAAATGATTACCCATTTTAATTTTATTTTAAATTTTCTAATTTACTTTTAATTAAACTAATTAATTATCTTAATTTTAATTTATAATGATTTATATTATAGGTTAATTATTTTCACTAATACATTTTTAATTATCTATTAATTATACTTATCCTAAATTCTAATGTTACAGTGACTAGGGCACCCAATGTAGGATTAATGTAGTAATTTTTTTTGAAAAATGTGTTGAGGTGGAAACGCAAATCCCACATTGAAAGATGTAAAAAAATTCTAACATCTTATAAGTGGCACATAACCTTATGTATTTCTTTTTTATTATATTTTGTAGTATTAAATTGTTTACATTTTATGAATAAATAAAGTATATATATCATTAAATAACCAATACTCCATAATTAAAATAAATATGGAGTATTATTTTTATCATTTTTTTGTATATCCTATTCAAAGTACTAATTTTCTATTTTAATAAAAGTATGCACTAATACTAAAATATTTTTAAATTTTATTTAAATTACAAATATATCATTACATATACAGTAACTTTATATATAAAGTCAAATGATAAAAAATCAAAATTTATTACACACTTCCACTAACTAATAAAATATTATTATTACAAATTACAAATTAGCATGTGATCCATGTTGAACCAAACACGTGATGGAGTCTATTATGAATCATGGTAACTTCTAAGTTTTTAATTATTCAAATATGTCTACACACGAAAATTTTAGTATGTTTTATTTTCTCCCTCATATAAAGTGTTTTTTTATTTAATATTTTTATCTATTTCATATATATATATATTAGAAAAATATCATATATTTTAAATTTAATAATTTATAATTTTTTATTTTATTTAAATTACTTAGTTGTCTAAATTTTTTAATTTAATTTATAATTATTTGTACTATATAATAATTATATTTACTAGTATATATTTTAATTATTTATTACTTATATATTTTTCTAAATTTATATGCCTACAATAACGTATACACTTTGATATATACTCTCTCCGTCCGAGATACCGTGTCTGCTACACTGTAGATACGGTATTTTAGGAGAAGTGTAATTAGTAGATAATTAAAATATATTAGTGAAAATAATTATCCTATAATATAAATAATTATAAATTAAGATTAAAATAACTAATTAGTTAAATTAAAATTAAAAAAAATAAAATTAAAATATTTAAAATTAGATTAAAGTGTGTAATCATTTTCCAAAAAAGGAAAGTGACATGGTACGTGGGACGGACAGAAACGACAACGTGGTGAACATGATATCTGGGACGGAGGGAGTATAATTTAACATATTTGATGTATGTATATAACATTTATATATATTTCCTATAGAAAAATTTCCTTCTATGAAAATATAAATTGTCTTTGTGTGGTTGTGTCGTGTCTTAACATGAATATTTTATTCGATAACTAGAAAAAAAAAAAAAACATTTTATATTGCTAGCAATATATATAAATATTAATATATCATAGTAAAATACTACACAAAATTAAATTTTTTGAGGCATCCTAGTTTCACTCATTCATAAAAGCAAAGTTCATGTAATATTAACCAAAATATCTATTGAAGTTTATGTAGTTGATTAAAAAATAATAATATTTTATAAATTAGTAGAATTATGTAAGATTGTTTTAATATTTTTGTCTTTTGTACTTTGTATATATGTACAATGATAAGTATATAATTTATGTAAAGTAAAAAAATATTTTGGTATTAATATCTGATTATTTTTACTGTAATAATAAATAAATAAAAATGATAAAAATAATACTTTCAGTTGAAACAAAAAGAATATAATCATTTTATATATTCAACTTTTATACATATATCATACAACTTTTCATGAATGAAAAATAATGTATATATATGGTTTATTTGTTTAGTATTTTGATTTGATTTTTTTTTTTTATTATTGATGTAAAATATAGAGAATTATATCGATAATATACAAAATAATATTATATATTGAATATTAACTTTTCTAAGAGAATAAACAAATCCTATATTTTACTTATTCGGTTATAATATTTTTTTCTAATAAATTTATATAACAATATTTCAATGTCAATAGGAGAATATTTTAGTTTGTGTGTTATCATATCATATAATGTGTTTCCTGATATAGTAGGAGATTCAAAATTAAAATAAAAAATGCCAAAAAAATAAAAATAAAAATAAAAATAAATAAAAAGATAAACAAAAAGTTACCAACAATGCATTCAATATATAGAATATTATTGCAATAACGAGGTACGTCTAGTCAATTCGACACATTGATAAAAAGAAATTAAATACAATGACGATGTACCTTACAAATAAAGTTTCAATACAATACAACTATATATATATATCCGAGCGATTACGGTGCTTATTTGGAAAAAATTAGTATTATGCTTATTTTTCAGATAATTTTGTTCATAACTTCAGAAAATATCGATTAAGAGTTCAAGTAATACAATATTTAAAATATAGCTCATGCTTTCTAAATTCTCAATGTTTAAATAGTACTCCATCTGTCCATTTTCTAATGTCCTATTTGATATTTACACGCATAGACAATTAGGGTTTTTGTTTTTGTTATAAAATGACAAATTTGTCCTTAATCTTGTGTATAGAAAATGAAAGAGTAAATAAAATAAGGGTAAAAGAGTAAATTTTGTGTATAAAAATAGAAAGATAGACAATAATTGTTGGACATTTCAAATAGGAAAGTAGGATGTTAATTTGTGGACGGAGGAGTATATAGTGTGATGTTTTGTAAAAAAAAAAATATGTTCATTTTTATTAAAATTTATAAAGAATAAATAATATTGATTTCAATTTAAAAATACAAAAGAACAAATCCAATATTGAGTGTTTGTTTTATATTTTTAATTCGAGGTGTTATTTATACTATTAGGCAAGAAAAATGTGTTAGACAATATAAAAATTGATATTTTATATTGAATTATTATCTTTAGTGAATAAAATGTATATATATATATTATATTTTCTTGATTCATTTTAAAGTAAAATATTTATATTTTGCACAGAGTTTAATAAATATTATAATATTTTAATTATGATTTTAGTATATAAAAATTATTTTATCTTTACTATGTGTAAAGTTAAATACGAAGGTACGTGCAATATATGATGGGATTCATATGTGTTTGAAGGAAAAAAAAATTAACAAAAAATATATATTTATCGGATAGACGAAAATAAATATATTTTATATAAATATATAATTTGTTAATAAACCGACAAGCATTAATATAATTTGTTATATTGACAAAAAAGAAAGAGTGAAAAGAAAGTGGGAGCCAGCAAGCCAAACCACAAAACTAAAAAAAATAAATAAATCAATAGAATATGCTGTCATCCAATCCCACCCCATCAAAATTATTTTGTTTTGTTGTATTTTTTATTCTAAGATTTTAGGTAGTATTCCTTCGTTCCCATATCTATATATCTATTTGTTTTTTATACGGAATTTTAAAAATTATTAGTACTATATTGGGGTAAAACAGAAATAAAGGTAAAAAGACTAAATTAACTCTGTTAGTATTGTATGATATAAAGGTAATGACATTTGTGTAATATATTATAAATTGGAAGGATGTTTGTAATGTTAAGTAGATAGTACAATTATTAAAAAAAAATAGATACTTTGTTATGAGACAGACTAAAAAGAAAAAATAGATAGATTATCAAGGGACACTGAAAATTTTTTGAATAGAATTCGGTGTTTGATGTAATATAAATAAGTATTGATTTCATAGTTTAAATGTAAAATTAAATTTTAACGTAACATAATACATAACTAAATAAAATAGATGTTTAATTTAATATTTTTGATAGTAAGTTGAAATAGTAAAATTATTTTAAAATCTCTCAAGTAAATACAATTTTTTTTTTCAGATTTTTTATTTTTAATTTAATATTTTAATTAGAAATAATTTTTAAATATAATATTTAAAAAATATTTGTATATATATATATAACTTACTATTATATTGAATATTTTTCTTTACAAAATTATCATAACTATTGAATTTTTTAAAGTTTATATATTAATAAAATATTTTGTAAGATAAATTAATACAATATATTTTTATTAGAAATACTAAATAATTGATTTTGATTTAATTTTTTAAAAAATAATATATTAAATATAATTTTTAATAAAATAAAATAATACTTTTGTCCGTCTTTGAGCGTCATATTTATCTTTTACGTCGTTGTACTTAACATTAAAAATATCTTTATATTTATATAATTTTTTTTTACAAATGTCATTCTATTAGTATTATAAGACATTAATAAAAATATTTTTACAATTTTTTTTAATTTATACTATATTTTAATATAATAATTAATGTAAAATTAAAAAAAAAAATGTAAATGAACTCTTAAAATCGGACGTGTAGTATAATTTATCAAAATATGAACTAAATAACATTGATGTTAATTTGAAACCAAAACGAAATACTCGTAATTTATTGTATACATAATAAAGCAAATAATCTTACGCCAGTCAGTATGCGTACGATCGCATAAAACAAATCTGGCCCGTCCAGACATTAAATATACGAAATGATTGCGTTTGCCGGGAGTCGAACCCGGGTCTATTGCTTGGAAGGCAATTATCCTAACCGTTGGACTACAAACGCAGCTTGTTTAATAATTTTTAATTATTTAATATATATTTAATTTTATAGTGTTTTGTTATTATATTTTCTTACAATTTAAGATTTTTTGAAAAAAAATATTTAAAGCCTGTAAAATATATAATTAAAATATTTATATTATCATTTTTTAAAAAAATTATGAAAAATAATAATACTTTTTTTCATAAAAAATTACATTAACATGTCTTCGATTTTTCATCAGAAGTTCAAAGAGTTCATGTTATTTATATTAATATAATTTAATTTTAGACATATTTTTAATTTAAATAAATATTATTTTTATTATTAACGTATAATTATTGTTTCTAAAATAAAATTAAAAAAATTATATTTTTAATGAGACAACAAAAATAACAAAAAAAAAATTTCTAGTCGGATCAAAGGGAGTACCTAATATATTTCCATAAAGCACATAACATACTATAGAACACAATCTAATGATTATTTTTCTAAATAACCTCTAAAAATTAAAAATAAACAAACCATGAGACTAAATTCAATTTCAGCTAGGAATTTGTATGTATATATATATATATATATAAAAAAATATTAAATGACCCTATGACGTTAGTAGAAAAATGTATAACTAATTTACATCTTCCAACAAAGATGATATCACCAAGGCTAACTTCCAAAACCAAAGATAAATTTAAATTATAATATTTGTCGAAACCAAGGAAATTCAGACAGTAAGAGAGTAAAAACTATGGCAAAAACACAGGCACTCCTTCCAACCATTGTCTGTCTGTTGTATGTTGTCCGTACGCGTTACATTCTTGGAGCTGCAAGCAAAAAAATGGTTCAATAATTAAGACTCGAAAGGTAATTGAAGCCAAAAAAAAGTTTATGTAAGTCGGGATTTTTTTTTTTTTTTTTTTTACCTCCGCCAATTGTAGCCTCGGGTAGCCGTTCGATGGAATACTTGTGCTGAGTGATGTACATGATCGGCACGCCGGGGATCTGACAATGAATCATTCATTAATCTTGCCGTCAGGGAAACAGAAAATTAGTAAGAGATTTTTGGATATGGTCCTAACCTTACGGATTCTGCGCTTTAAGTCCCGATCACATGTTGCCACGATGTAGCACTTGTGCTGTTTCACGGGTAAGGGTAACGATCGCGAGATGTTAGATATTTTGTTGTAATAAAAGTCTAAGAAAAGAACATGTTAAGGTACGTAATAATTTTAGAACGAATGCATTATCCAAGAGCTAGAGAATGAAATAAATATATAAGTCACGAGTCGAAAGTGCAGAAAATGAATATCAGCAAATCAAAATGCACCTGTGTAACCCTTTCGACGATGCAATCATCAGCATATGTTCCAGTGTGGGTACATGGAAGCCTTTCGAATCGCAGGTCCTTAGCAATTCTGTTTGTAATGAATACGAGAAAAGTAAATTACACATTTTCGTCTCTATTTAGTTAGACATTCTTGAAAACCTTTTTCGAAAAAGGCACATAAAAAAAAAAAAAACGGACATCAAATAGACAACTTTTTACGAGTCTAAGTCTTGTTTCTTAAAAGGAACGATTTCAGACACAGAAAAAACGAAATCCAGGAAAGTAATACACAGCTAAAAAAACAGAGAGGTGCGCCGAAAAGTACAAGCTCTTTGGCGGATCATTTTTCTAAAAGAGGTGCTACGATTAGTTCGGATTTTGTCACCTGGCTCTAGTTTCCTCGGCTTCCTAAGTATCTTGTCCCGACTCAATCCACATATATATAGAAAAAAAAAAAAAGAAAAAAAGAAAAAAGGAGACAAAGATACATGCCTCAATGCAACTCGGTATTTCTGACCCAACTTTTCCAGCTCAGCCATAACACAGTCTGATATGCACGGCGTACCTACACATAAACCATCAACAGACAACGGTAACTTGAAATTGTGGATAATCAATAAGCCAAGCAAATATACAGCAAGAAAATACAGAGTAGAAGAAGATAAACACGACATATACATGTGTTTTGTACAATGGATATCCAAATTTATTCAAAAGAACTTATTATCACGTTTTCAGAGTGAAAGGACAAGTTCATCGATTTTGGAAAAGATTAACAAAAGCATCGGGCAATCACTAGAATAACAAATTTGTATAGAAACTTACATTTAGCATACAAGCAGTCCATCATTCCTTTCTCCAAATCCAACTGCAATCAGATTCAAACATTCAGGCAAGGCAATCGATTACAAAGCGTTATTCGACAGAAAATGCAATTAGATTCAAACATTCAGGCAAGACAGAAATATTGAATGTCATGCTAAGGGCACAAATTCCGAATAAGAAACTTTCAAGATTGAGAGACGGAAAATGTATAAACAACAATCGAAAATCATGAAAACACACTTGAATTTATTTGAAAAGATTGCCAAAATGAATATCCACATCTCTTGGAAAGGTTTCAATATTGAAAAAAGAAATATATCAGCAATTATCACAATCTGTTCCAAAAATATCCCACTTGATAATTCAAGATAGCCAAACAATGAACAACTGCATACACGTTTCTATGAACTCTAAATTCCAATATTCAATCGTCTAAATAAGAATGCGTATTTTAGCAAGCTTGAACACTCACTTTATTCTGAATGGAGAAATTGATAAAGTTAGTATCCACCAAAACTCTGTATGGCGGCCCCAATGCAGTGTTATGCTTGAAGTACAGTGCAGATGAAATTTGAGGTCTGCATCCAAAAAGCAAAATTGCAACAATCGGTACAGGGACTGATTGAAATTCTCAAACCTTAAGAAATTTAAATAAAATCTGAGCAATTCGATTTTGATGAGAGAACTCACACGTTTCTGGGGAGCTTCTCCTTGGTTAAGTCCTTCCTGTTAGGGTTTAACACCTCCTCCTTATATCTATCAACCATAATCAACGAGATTAGTGTGGATAAACCACGAAGCACCGCGTAATTAACCAAACGCTTGTATTGAAGGTAGAAATCTTACTGTTTTATCGTTTTGTGAGAGACGAGTTTCTTCATTGCAGCAAACTTTGGGGTTTTCCTCGCTCTTCCCATCTTTGTAGTATGATCTGCGGCAAAAGGAACGATAATTTGGGGGAGAATTTGCTCTTACTGGCCACTGCTAACAATTCAGGTTTTTCCTTCCCCTGATTATCCAATGATCTATTCTAAGACAAGCTGAATTTGAAACGGAAGGCAACGCCGGGGAAGATAAAGACGCCTGAAGACGAGGTCGAGGGGTAAGAGGAAGATGAAGACGAATACGACGGCGGAGGCGGCGGCGCTGTGGATCGGAGAAGCCGAAAGACAAGAAAGACGATGAAGTGAAGAAAGACGGCGCACACTTACTGTGAAGAAGAACGACGGTCGACGGCTATGTCAAGATTAGGGTTTATTTTATATTTTTATATAATTTAATTATATTATGTACTTATCAATTTTTATAATTTATTATTATTATTTAATTTAAAATATTATTTTTTAGCTATAAAACTTATTCTTATTTTTTCTTTGTTCATTCATAAATTATTTTTTATTATTTAATAAAATATTATCTTTAAAATTTTCATATCGAATCCAAATAAATTATTTTTTTACATTCTGAATAAAATAATATTATTATTCAACATTACCGAGTTTGTTCACTCATAAATAATAGTTATATAAAAAAAAAAAATATAAATACATTAACACAATGAGTTTCGTTCATTCTATATATATATATATTTACTTTATGAATGTACTTTTGATATAATGTATGTGAAATCGTATCGATAATATTAAAAGTTATATTTTCTTTGTTTTACATACTCTACAACATGTTCTATTTTGGCATGTTCTATGCAATATTTTTAAAATAAAAAATACTAGTAATTAATGTATTTTATCTCATCACGCAAGTCAGATGAAAACATAAATATATATATTTTTATCATATCGCTTTATTTTACTCACTTAAATTATCGTGTCGAAATTCAAACATTGCTTCTTATTTGATTCAAAGAAAACAATATAGGAAACATCCAAGAAGGATGCCGCCATATCAATTATAGCTAATCTAATCTTCGAGGTAAGGATTGGAGTGATAAATGTGCTGAGGTATATCCCGACAACCGCCTCTCAATAATGAAATAAGGACTAACTCAAATAATAATAAACTTGTAGATATATTTGAATGATAATAATCAAATCTAAATGATATTAATTAAAAGATACGATTTTAGTACTTATCGAGTAAATCGAAACACACATAATGAAGGTGACAACACATACTCTATATAGTAAAACACAATGCTATGTCATATACAATTATCTGGTGTGAAGTTTTTTATATTTGTGATATACTGTATAAATATATTTACTGCGTTGAAATCAATAATATATTGTGCTATGTATAATTATATCATTGATGTTATAATATATGCTACCTGAAATTATATTATGTGTTACAAAAAAAAATATGTTGGCTGTCTTAATAGTATATGTTGACCGAGTTATATTAATATCATACTAATTTGACCCGATTAACATCCAAACCAAAGCATATACATATACACACACTACTTAGATAGAGTAATAATCTCTTAATAATCTATCTTGCCAAAAATGAATACAACACAACAACAACAAAGGGAAACAAATACTTATTTAAAGTATCATTTTTATTATTTTTTGTCTATCTCACTAATTTATTTTTTTATTTTAAAAAAATAATTATACATTAATACTAAAATATTTTTAATTTTTATTTAAATTATGCACATATCATTACATATATAATTACTTTATACATAAAATAAAATCGAAAGTTAAAAATGTCAAAATCTCTTAACGTTCTATTAACCAATAAAATATGAATATTGTCCCGTAAGGGATGACCTAGTGGTGTCGGGGTTGGACTTGTGACCGTGAGGTCACGGGTTCAAACCCCCGACGCCTCAGGTCACCTGCCACACATGGTTCGCCTAGTGTGATTTTCCCGTCGGGCCTGGTTTGCAGGGTATTAGGTTCGGTCGAGGGTTTACCCAGTGCGCACTTTCGAATTGCGGCTGCCGATTTTCACGTCATAAAAAAAAATGAATATATTTTAATCTTTTATAAAATTCAAAGGATCCTTTGAACTTGGACGGTGGGACTGAAGGAGTAAATCATAAGTTACATAAATGTTTTGTAAACAAGACAACATAATCATAGTTCAATGTTCATAACATGATCAAAAAGTTATTACAAAAGGCCACACGTGATAATGTAACAAATCTTTTATGTCTTAAAAGGCAAGAGCAAGAGAATGGCAACACAAAAACTGCCTGTTGAAATAAAAATCAAGTCCATAATTCCCGATTTTTAATACCGTATTCACTATCGCCCGACTTGCTACTTCCCCCATAGTAGTCGAGTGTCCATTTCTCGAAAGTGCAATTGATGAAGTCATAGTAACCTCCATGGATCGAGAGCTTCCCCCTCATCACGCGTTCTTCGATCCACGGATACGTCAACAAGTTCACCAACGACCTGTTGATCGACTCCTGGCCAAAATTAAGCAGACACTCACTTAATACTTCCTTGTCCGCTAAAATTATATCTCTATTTTTTATTTCATTGTTCGTTAAATTTATGAAAATTCTATTTATAGTAAATAATTTTATCCGTTCATAATTTTTTACCTTTTATTTTAATAAATAGCATGATAAATTATATAACACGTCTTGTGTTTTAGTAAAAATGTATAAAACATTCTATATTTTATTTATTGCGTGAAATCCCTTTGCGTTAATATAAAGTTTGTATCAAACACACCCCCTGTCCAAAACTGATACTTAATTCTAAATAAAGACCTAAATCACGCAAGTTTTATACAAATAAAAAACGCAAACTTTACATTTATATAATTTACCCTAAATAACAACTAATTTGTCATGCTTTTCTACTTAGCTACCATCTATTCATCAAAACTTTAATAGTAAAATATTATTATTTCTTAATTTTCGTATTCAAGCAAACTAAAATAAGTATTTTTGGACAGAGGGAGTATTATATAAAGCATCGGCAAAGTTATGTAATAATTGGGAGAGAACAAAATGGAAAACAAAGGAAGTGAACCTTCTCACAGTGTCGACACTGCTGATCAAAGCCGAGGTTCAAAGCAGCAGCCTTTGTTTTCACCCGGGCAGGTTTCCCGACAACCACCCAATTTTCGATGAAACTACTGTAAACACGGCAACAAGAGATGTAAGAACAGATAGTAAGCAACAACTCATCAGCCAATCGAACCAAAAAAAGAAACTAACTAATAAATAAAAGGATAAATTGCATAATACCCCTTGTGTTTCAGTATAAATGCATAAAACATCCGGTACTTTATTTATTGCATGAAACCCCTCGTGTTAAATTAAAGTATGCACAAAATATTTTTTTCGTCAAAACTGAAGTTTAGTCGTAAATACGCACCTAATTATGCAAATTTTATACAAATAAATAAATAACAAATCAATCATTCATTTTATAGTTTTCTATAAAAGTTAGCTAACAAATCGTCTTAATTAGCATTACTTTACCCTTTTTATTTTATTGGTATAAAATTTGCATAATTAAATGTAAGTTTATAACCAAACATTACCTTTAAATGACGAGGGTGCTTTAATTTTACACAAAGCAGTTTCACTCAATAAATAAAATACGATATGTTCAGCGCATTTTCACTAAATTTAAATGGCGTATTATATAATTTACACTAAATAAAACCTTGAAGTAAGGTCATCGTCCTCCATGCTCATCAAGGCTTTAATTCCTCCACAGCAGCTGTGACCAATAACGAGTATATTTTCGACCTGAACTCGACAACAAGTATCTTTCATAGCTTCCGGCTAAATTATAATCAATCGCAATTTATTGAAGAGATCTAAAGCAAAATATTTACTCACTTCAAGAGAGTTAACAGCAAACTCAAGAGCAGCATTCGTCTCCAAAGGTCCACTCTGCATAAAAAGTCGTAAAATCTGTACATAAAAACTTAGGAAAGACGAGCTTCCACATTAATTATTACACACCTCATGAGGTGGCACCAAATTCGCCACATTTCGGACCACAAAGGCTTCTCCGGGTTGAAATCCTAGAATTCTCGAAGGACAGACTCGCGAGTCTGCACAAGCGATCACCATGAACTGTCATTCAAAAACATCAGATTTTTCTTGCATGATTTCATTGGTATCGATGAAATTTTCTCAGAAACTGCCGAAAAGAAAATAACCTTAGGTGCTTGGGCATCAGAAAGCTTTTGGTAGTGATCTAAGTTTTTCCTGCAGACGTTGCAAAAGCATTTAGATTAAAAGATTAGGGCAAGATAGCAAAAAAATCCCTATAGTTTGCAAATTTGCTGAAAAGCCCTGGTCATAAAATTTCGATTTACCCACCTGTGGTTTAAATAAAATACATCTCCGTTAGTATTTAACGGTAGCAGACACACTTAAACTAAGAGTATTAAACTAAGTATTATTTTTGTAACTTTCTTTCCTGTTATCTATAGTTTTGTAATAATACTCGCAGTTTAAACGCGAGGTATTTTTTGCAACATAATCTTAAACACATGTGGATAAAATTTTAGAAAGAGTCTTTTCGGCAAATTTCGCAAACCATATGGAAGTTTTTTGCTATTTTGCCAAAGATTAGACCTGTCAATCGATTCAATGACTCGAACTAACTATATTTGGCTCTAACACAAATTTTCTTACAAAAAAATATCTTGTTTGAACCCGAGAAACCTCTGTCTCAACTCCTCGAAATGATGGGATGCCTCATCAGTCGAGCCTGCTACTTTCGGCTTGCTATCAATGGCTTTCTGAACTCGATGTGTAGAATCGCTTGATGCCTTTGCTCTTAAAGTCAAACTTCTTCTACATTAGGCGTTATCGGATAGCAAAACAGAGCATGCATTAGTACAGCAACAAATGATTCAATCATAAAAATTTATACATATTTATAGTGGCCTACAAAGTCAAAAATCTTAGGAAACTGTTAAATAAAATACATTCCATGAATATATATCATATATAATAATGATCTACAAATCGTCTAATTAAGTCAAGAATCTTACAAATCTCAATGAACCGATCATTTTATCACAAATTAGTCTAATTTATTACAATATCCCCACACGATTGTATCTTTACCTGGAAAGAGTTGAAGATATCAAATGGTCCCTTAGTGTCACTGAGGCATTTCATCAAACAGAACAAATGCAATCCACAGAACAGAAAAAAAAAAAAAAAAAAAAAAAAAAAAAAAAAAAGAAAAGAAAAAAAGGCTTAAATCAAAACTACCAATGAACCAAATTTGCTCTTGAAGCAAAATTCACACCAAAGAATTATTGGATGCATTCATCAAAATCGAAACGACAAACCAGATACTAATAACCACGATCAAACCAAGGAAAATAACTTTTCAAAATAGGACAAGGGCATACTTTAAAGACCCCGAAATTCGCAAGTGACTCAGCTCAATTTCCAGGAATCTCAATTGGGAGCCAAAGATCTGCCACTCAAAAATTAAAAACCTCCATGAAAAGCTACAGCTCGTAATTACAACTTTGGCGTAATCAGAAATTGAGATTTCACCTTGGAGGCTGTAATTGAAGTCGGAGAGAGGTCCGAAGAAGACGGCGAGGACTGAAACACTCCGTAACCCGCCATTACAACAGATCGTGTTTCTAATTCAAGTAACAGGGCTGAAGTGCCCTTCTATTTTTGGGGGAAAAGGTTGCTCAAGGGGTTGAGCAGCTGAATTCGTCACTTTCCCTAAATAGTATAGTTTTATTGTAATCATCGCAGTTTCGATGATTTTGTAATTAATTAGGCAGTTTGGGGGTTGGCTGCTTCTCCCAAAGTGGCTGCCTGACCTGTCCTGTCTAAAAGAAAGATAATCTAGACTAGTTGGTATGCTATAAGGTTCTTAAATTATAGTGTTCACAGTAATTGTGACACTATTTTTGACATTGATGTTTGTCTCTATACAATGTGATGTATATCCTGTAGTTATGTGATGTTTATTTTTATATCATGTGTCATTCAGTTAATATATTTCATACTCCCCACATTCTACTCTTAAGGACAATAAAAGTACTTTGTCATTTTTTTTTTTTTTTAATTTGATATATATATATATAAATTAACTATATGTATAATACTGTATGTTTGTAATTTAGTACTAAAAATTAACAGTATATTGGTATTAATAGTACATTTGTCATTGTACTAAAAGTTAAAAAGTATTTTTATATTAATATACAATTATTTTTATTAAAATATAAAAAAAAATATGAGACATACAAAAAGAATGAAAAAAATAATTTAGGTTGAGACTGATGATGAAGTATATTATCTGCCAAGTCTGTATTATTTGCTATTTTTCTATATAGAATGTCCTATCAGCAAGTGTTGAATTTTTCAATTAATGCCCGCCATATAACTTAATTAAGTATGGCTAAATGTCGAGATCTACAAGGAGATTAGATCTAAAAATGATGACAGTCATTATAAAGTCACAGGGCTAATGCAATATATTTATTTTAGGCTCCTTTTACATAGAGATCCAACTTTTCATTCACCAAATGAATCAAATGATACAAGCCACTTTCCACAATTAAAAACCAATATTATGCCCAAGAAAATCATTCATTAAGTATGTGTTACTATATATCCTATTATGTGACGAAAGTACAGAGAGAATTTCATTTGTATTATAACAGTGTACTTTATATCTAAAACTCTTTCCCTATGTCCATATGTATATAAACTAACTACCTTGTATAGTTAGTTTACTTACCTGTTTGGCCAAAAAACATTCATTCGTTCACCCACTTTTCCTCAAGTTTGATGCCTTGGGTTTTACCAATAAGTCTGAAATTTTGTTCTTGTTGTCGATGCCATTATCCTCTTCTGCTGAGGGTTTGGGTTTTTGTGGAGAATCCTGCAAAAGAAACAATCATCTTGCAATTTCACTCAAGTCCACCCGACTCTATTTGCAAAAATATTTTAAAAAAAAATAAGATAAACTAATTTTTTTAGTTTCGTATCTAAATTATTTTATTATTTTAGTTGTCTAACTGAAATTTGTCGCAAACTAGTATGTAAGTGAAAATTTTTCGCAATTTTAGTCTTCCGGTGTCGGAGATGAATATGTGGCATCTATTTAGCTCACCAGATGACACGTGATTTTTATTTTATTTTCAATTTTCTTTTTTGAAAATTTTAATTTTTTTAAAAAAAAGACAAAATAAATAAACAAAAAAAATTTTAAAAAATTTACAGGTCTGTAAGGTGTCGCACGGATACGTGTCATCAGGAGAGCCACGCGGGTGCCACGTAGGCATTTCTGGCAAGGGAGGATTAAAAGTATAGAAAATTTTTACTTACAAAACCAATTTGCGACAAACTTCTATTACGGAGCTAAAATAATAAAATAGTCCATGGGAAAAAATATATATATATATCAATTTATCAAAAAATAATCAATTGACCGAAAAAATAAAAAAATATCATATTACTCGCCGTGTGACACCAAGGGTTCGCATAGCTACTCTTGTTGCTGGGGTTGATCTCCTCCAGCTATTCTTCGAATTGCCTAAACAATACAAAGTGACTACCACAATGATGAGTGCATATCAAAGTTGAATAAATATATGCAGACAAAGCCTACTTATTCATTGACAACAAAAATAGTGTGAAAATAATTTTTGGGAAACTGAAAATTACATTATATCGATCATCAAAATAAATAATTTATAGGCAACATAAAACTCAATAGACTCAAGTTTAAATAAAATGAATATTTAAAATATCTCAACAAAGAAGAATCAAATATATATTTACATACCAGATGTTTTCTCATTCCCATTTATCTTCGACTCCTCGGTGCTGCATGCAAGTGTAAAGAAATTCACTTTCATTTGGCTCTAGTTGAATGAAACTTTCTACAACTAACCTCATAATCCCTATTGAAGGCCCTTTGAAGGTCGACTTGGTTTCTGAGGCCAAATGCCAAGAAAGTGTTCTGGCTGCCAAAGCACCTGAACCAATGTATAGAAAATCAAAGGTTAACGTAACAAGGATGCATTATTTCGCGCTCGCTTTATAAACACACATTCAATACTATCGAAACCTATAACCTGAAGGATATCGATGACTTTTCACTTGTACATGCTGCCCAAAATCTGACTGTATATATGGTCCAAAGTGCACTTTCTTGCTCGTTGAATCTAGCTCGACGACAATCAAGAACCATGGGTGCTGGTGAAAGTTAGGATGGGTTTTAAATCTACCATAGTAAGTTAGTAACTACTTCTAGAGTAGCCTTAATCTTACTTGGCAATGTATAATGTTTGTGATGGCTGGGAATGATGGCTAACAATTGTTGCTGCCTTAGACCTTCTCTATCAGTATATGTTCGACAAGTAAGAAGTTTCTTGCATACAAAAATATATGTTTCAGTACAGATACTGCTTCTATGCTCTGTAAATTAACACCCAAGAAGCAAAGTTACCTGGTTTAGACAATCAACTTTCAGATCAAAAGATGAGATCTCTAATGCTTGTTGATCCACAATATCATGCAACTTGTAAGCAACAGTTCCGAGGTGGTCGATAGTATTGACGAGAGCTCGTGAAACATAATCTTTCAGATTGTCCAGAATCCTTGTGCACAATAAGAGATGACGTAGATATGATTTTTAGAGCCACAGTGAACACTAATCATCCTTATGGCTCCAATATGATTTTAATATAACAATTTAGATTGAAGTAATATTGCTCTGAAGAAACAAACATATCAGATAGGTCATATGGCAGAAATCTCACATCTGCTGTTGCTCACTCTTAAGGTAGGACTTTTCACAATACTCTGCTGCAGAGTACAAATGAGATTTGAGGTTTTTAAGTTCCTATAGACACGTAAAATCGAAATATCAGTAAAAAAAAAAAAAGAAAAAGAAACACAGTGTTCATATGAGGAAATCATGAGAAATAACAAAGCAGAAGTTCAGTTAATACGATTCCCTTCACACAACCAGAAATTCAACAAATAAAGTCGAGCATAATCAACTCGTTCCTATCATAATTCATAACGAAACGCTAAAAAGTGATATTTGATACTGATTTGATCCGCAATTTGCATCCGCGTCAATCATATGGAGAACACGCAAAAACACTATCATTAGGAGAATATAGAATTTAAAAAATCCAAACAGAGCCATCAAGCAAGCCAGGTAGATAATCAAAAGCCATTATACTCTCTGTTCCACATGCAAAACACTTAATGCCTTTTAACGAACAGACAGATATGATCAATTCAAACATAAAACTATCAAGCAAATTACTTAACCTGCAATGCCGTGACAAAACTCGTAGAACTCTCCATCGATTCCTCCTCGAACACCATCGTTCGCTTCTCCGCTCCACCTTCCTCCACCTCCATCGAAAACACAACTGATTCTGCTGCTATTGCGCGAGATTGAAATTCGAAAATGAAATCGGAGCTCCAACAGTTGATTAAGTAGCGGATTTTGAACTGGAGGAATAATCAATTGGCGTGCTTGAAGTAAATTTGGAGGTAAAGCAAGGTATATATTAATATATATATATGTATGTATATGCAGGGCAGTTATATAAGAATGCGGTGTGGTGTGTATGTGCGTGAGGAAGAGCGTGTGTAGTAAAAGCAACGCCGCCATGCCAGCTATATATATATATATATATATGGCTATGCAAGTGATGAAAACGACGTCGTTTGGTAGTTCTCTGTGGGGACATTTCCCCTCCGCACCACTGCCTGTCTATTTCTTGAATACGTATTATTCTATTCCTCCGCTAATTAATATTATGTGTTGTGATTTTTGAATATTAATTATTATAAAAATAATTGTAAAATTAATCTGTTTTTCAGCCGAACCGAATGTGAAGGGGAGTCACGGATACAAGGGTGCCGGATCGGATCAGGACTTTAGAACCGGACCGGATTAAAGATTTTGGATTGCGGGTCAAATTTAATAATGGATCAAATTTTAAATATCTACAGTTTGATCATTTGAGAAAATGGAGTATAATATAGCACTATCATGATAACGAACAAGATGACGATATCGATGGATTTGATTTTTCAAATTCAGTTCAAACTCTTTGAATACATTACAACAATAGGAATGCTCTCACTATTAAAAAGTATATCTATCCAAAAATATAAATGACATATCCAATATTTATTGAGGAAAATGGTTTGATTGTGGCAAGGGAATCAATTTGGGCCGATTTGGACGGTGTCAATTTGGGCCGAATCATATTGTATCGGGTATATATATAACATTTGATTTCCATTGAGATGGAATTTTTTTTTTTTCTTTGCTCTTTCTTTAAAAATTAATTTTTTGTGGGCTCCATTTATATATTACTTCATCCGTGCCAATACAACAGCGTTATTTACTATTTTTGTTTGTCCTAAAACAATAGTTTCATTTTAATAAATAACCATATCACTATAAAAACTAGTCTCACTTTTTCATTATTATTTTTTACACTAATACACTCTATAAGGACAAAAAAAGTATTTTATCTATATTTTTATCCACTACCAATATAATATTTATATTCCTTAAATCTCGTGTCAAATACAACTCAAACTATAATTCTGGGACGGAGGAAGTATCATATTTGTTTGGTTATCGTTTAATGTTTTTGATAATTTTGATATATTTTAAACATAATAAATTTTGACTGAAAATAAATATTTGATGCAGTCAATAATTATACTATATTGAAAGTTTATACTCAGAAAATAAAATGGGTCAACAAAAGTTAGCACATTTTTTTAACAATTTTGACTCATGAGCAAATATTATAATCATGTCCTTACAAATTTTGTTTCAACTCAATAATGTAAGATGTGGGTGTTACAAATGATCATATATTGAATAGATTAATGTTCATCAGCTATTGTTTTCAATAAAAATATTTTTTGTTATTATATTTTTATAGATTTTCGGAATGACATAATTAATAAATAATTAAAAAAATATATTAATAAAAGTAATTATAATACAATATAAATAATTAATATTAAGATTAATAATATTAATTAATTAATTTAATTAAAATTTAAATTAATTATAAATTAAAAAATAAAAAATGAATAAAATATATAATTTTGTAAAAAAATAAAACACGGACTAAAATGCCAATATGGATATGAGATGCGGAATGAAAGAGTACTATTTATTATTTTTATAAGAAAAAAGAAAAAGAAAAAAGAGTACTATTTATTATAATTAAATAGTGTATTCACAATATTTTTTTTTGGAGTTTTCAGCTTATAAACACTTTTTTTTTATTCTATTATCATTTTTTATTGAATAATGATAATATTCGTGCAGGTATTTGATTTGGTTGGGGATTTATCCGATGCGCATTTTTGAGTAGCGGCTGCGAATTCCGACGTTATAAAAAAAAACTATATGTGGTTCGATGGATATTAATAATTTGTTGAAAACCAGTAACTTCTATGAATCATAAAATGCACATCAAACATAATATCTCTCTAAAAAATAACAAAAAAAAAAAATATTAATCAATTCCACAGACTAAAATTTCAAATTCATTGAATCTTCTAGACAATAAATAGTGCTAATTATCTCAATTTTTTTATAATCTCTTTGTTCCACATAATTTATCCATATTTTTTCGTCCCATATAATTTGTTCTTTATTTTTTTGAAAATATAATTATATACTTTAATTACATTTTAAACTTTATATTTTATAATTTTTTTAATCTAAATTAAAGTATATAGTTATTTTAATCTTAATCTATAATTATTTTTACTAATACACTTCTTAATTACTTACTAATCATACTTTACCTAAATTCTCATGTTTACAGTAACACGCCCAAATTACCTAGGACGGAGGGAGTAAAACACAAACTAACATAAGAATAATTTGTTAACGGCGGCGATTACCGTACTAATTCAGCACAATACTTTAATATATATATTTGACAATATATTATAGTACATAAATGTACAATACATATAATACTTCATTCGTTCTATAACAAAGTATCAATTTTTTTATTTTAGTCCATCCCATAACAAAGTATCAATTTCTTTTTTTTTTTTTTTTAGTAACTGTACTGTCTACCTAACATTATAAATACCCTTACAACTTACAATATATTACACAAATGTTATTACCTTTATATCACACATACTAATAAGGTTATTTTAGTCATTTCTACTTTATTCATACTATATCTCAATATAATACCAATATTTATAAAACTACGTGAAAAACAAATAGATATTTAGTTTCGGGACAGAAAGAAAGTATATAATTGCCAACAAGTACTAATACTTTAAACATTATATATTATCTGTTATATTTTCATATGTTATATATAGTAATTTTATGTAGGGATTAGAGCAATCAAATATGATATTGATAAATATCCAATCAACAATACTCTATTGAAATGTTTTAATTTTAATTTCAACCCGGGCTTTAAATTTTTACACTTTATCTTTGTTTCAACAAAGAAATAAATAGACTAAGATCATCTTCAATTTATTACTTTATTTTTGCAGTAGTTACAGTAAAAATGCAGTCGATCTACGTTAATTTTACTCTAATCATAAACTTCAATTTTCACTCTAAAAAGTATATTATTTATATATTCATATTTTATATTATTTTGTATAACTTTTTATATTTATAACTTACAGTTCAACTTTAATTTATTTTTACAATATAACTCAAATATATATAATTACACATTATTTTTAAAAAAACTATATAATTATATCACTTTTAAAAAAAATTATACATTATTTTTTAAAAAATAAAATTATATTACTTTCCAAAAAATAAAATTATACATTATCTTTAAAAAAAAATAAAGTACATATCATTTCTTTTTAAAAAAAATAAAATTATACAATATACCAAAAAAAAAAATAACAAAAATATACAAACATCACAAAACATCACACAAATTCCACTTTAAAAGTAAAGTAGAGCAATACTAAAATTGAAGGGGTAATTTTGAGAGTGGATTGGAGGCCCCCCAACAATTTTATGCAGTGGTTGGAGTTGCCCTAAAGAGAGTAAGAAGAACAAAGACAAGACCAAGAAAAACACAAAATTTCCACTCAACTTTGGCTTTTCAAATCTGTCAAATTAGTTTACACTTTCCAATAATGTTCATTTTCTAAGTAACTTTTTTGTTTTGAACATGACTATGATGTCCATACAAATTAAGACCAATAATTTTTTTTAATTTCAAAAAATAATTAGATCAAATTTAAAATTTTAAGCTTCTATTTCTTCGAAGAATTTTTAAAACTTGACACTATATATATATATCACACGTTCTTCAATAAAAAATATAAGATTTTTTTTCAAAATATCACATCAAATTATTAATATTTAAATAAAATTCAAATTTGAATCTTAAAAAAATACTAACTTATGTTATTTCTATCACATATTATTTATATATGATGTCATGTTCTATAATAATAATAATAATAATAATAATAATAATAATAATAATAATAATAGTATAGTTGTAGTACTACTACTAATATACATGTTGGTGTGAAGGTGAAATTATTCTGGCAATAATTTGAGAAAAATAGAGATGTTCTGGTGGTGTGGGGTGGAAAATCGGTTAGACAATAATTCCATAAAATTTAAAAAAAAAAAAAAAAAAAAACCTAAAATAAGGCTTTCTTTGTCTCGATTATATCCTAAAAAGTTATATATAATCCAATTCTATCGCAATTTCTTATTTATTACCATCAAATCATGTCGAACTTATGCTCATCCCTACAAATGTGAAAACAAAAATAAAGACCACAATAAGTAACTACGAAAAAGTGAACAAAATTTAGAGTTTACACACACACATATATGAATTGTTAAAGATTAATCAAACATCATGCTACTTAGTCATAATCAGCATATGAAATATATATTGTTAGCGTACACCTGAATTATACATGTGTTTTGTAGATTATTATCATATGTTGTTTATTCTATTTTATATGTACAATGTATTAATATAACTTGTATGATTAGATCAATTATAGCATGTGTTGCATTGTTTATTATACGGTCAATTCAAGTGCTCTATTTGTTTTATATTAACATTAGAATTAGCATCATAATTACTGCTATATATATGTCAATGGTTACAGTGCTGATTTCTTTAAACAGTATCGACCGAGAGTTCCAAAAGCACCGATTAACTATTCAAATAACATATAATTTATGTTAATATTTTACAAATACAACCAAAAACTAAGAATACATAACGCCATGATGATTTTTTCAAATAGCATCAATCAAAAGTTCAAAAAAGCATCGATCAAGGTCCAGAAAGTATCGATTAAGAGTTCAGAAAGTATGAGCTATATTTAAAACTTGTATTATCTGAACCATTTATCAGTGGTTTTTAAACTTTTAATCGATACTCTCTAGAGTCTTGAACATCGTTGTACGGTGAAATCAGCGCCGTATATATATATATATATATATATTTAGTATAAATCAAGTAGGGGACCTCTAAGTTTGTCCATTTTTGGAGTTGCTTTTCTTGATACTTGAATCTTTTGTTTCTTTTTACTTGGTTTTTCTTTTGA